AGAGCATTTACACAAATGAGTTATCCATGATGCAGAACTTCTAACCGAACATGAGTTAGCCCAGATTCAAGGGAAGGGGAAATAGAACCCATCTCTTAATGGGAAGCATGGCAAAGAGTTTACAGTTTTCTTTAATATACCATAAGTGCTTAACAGTAGCACTTGGCACATACTAAGTATGTACTAAATGTTAGCTATAATTAGTGCTCTTATTCTGTCTTTTCTGAAGAGTAGGTGAAGCTGGGCATTTACTGTTCCCTTTTGGAACACTTCCCCTGGGATGGATGGATCAATGGAAGGAAGGAAGGAAGGAAGGAGAGAAGGAAATGATATCGCTCTCTTAATTCTGTTACCAGTTCAAATATCAACTTATAAAAGATGCTTCCCCTGATTGATTACCCTGTATGAAATAGCATCTACGCTACCACCTTATCTCCGTCAACTCTCTCATCTACTGGGTTTATTCTTCTTCACAGTACATATCACCATCTACATTATATGTTTATTGTCTCTCTCCATCAGAGCAGGATATTTGTTTTGTTCAGTGTTATATGCTCTGCGCCTATGACAACACTTAGAACGTTGTAGGTGTTTAATGTGTATACATGGAATGAATGAATAAATCAATGAGGGAAAAAAAAACAAGCCATTTTACCAATGGTATTTGGATATCACTTTTAGGAATACCAGACACTAAAAAGGCTATATACTATTTATTCCAAAATGAAAAATGATATAGACCACAGTACTCATATATTTCATGCTGTCAGAAGTCTTCCCATGAGAATCGCCCATCAGAATACACGTGCTCATGGGAAGCAAAGACAGTATCATTATCTTAAGTTTCTCGGCAAGAGGTATGTTCCTAACGAGATTCTGATCTCAAAGGTGTAGGAGCACATCTTCTATTGCGATTGTATTCTGCCTATTAGCAAATAAATATCATGGTACTGTGTGTATGACATGAGCTTCCTAAGTGTATAATAATTAAATTAAAAGGGTTCTCTGTGATCCAGTTTTCCAAGGTAAATTTTGATCTTGTTTTTGTTAGGTAATAAAGACACCTTGTTGACTGTTGAAATGTGGCTCCTCACCATGCTTGCCTTATAGAAGTCATCATATCACAGTACCACCTGTTCATTCTCAGAATGAGAATCCTCCTTTGCCTCCATTCAGAGTGAGATTATATCATGTGTTGGAGATATCTGGCAACCTGGTTCTTTTTTGTTAGTATACTTTATTATTTTAGAATACTTTGAGATATATAGGACTTGCGAAGAGCACAGGAGTTCGTAGAAACCCACATGCACCCACTTTCCCCTATTGTTAACATCTTACATGAGGGTGCTACATTTGTCACAACAGATAACCAGTATTGATACATGATAATAAACTAAAGTTCATACTTTTATGAACCAGTTTAAAAATTAATTCCTATAATTTCTATATAATATTCTTATATATATTATATATAATACTCCTATATTATATATTATTACATATTGTATATATAATTAATTCCTATATAATTCCTATAATTTCTAAAAAATGAAAACTGGTATTCATTGTACACACATCAGGTGGTGGCTTTCTGATTCTTAAAGGAAACATAGTAACTTTGAACCAATGGGGCTTATCAGTAAATAAGGGACTTATAAAAATGAGGGTTTAAAATTCAACTGGGGGAATCTTATAGCTTAACATATTTTATTTGTAAGTTAGATATTAATAAAGATGACAGGAGGGGGTTTGATCATTATTAAAGCTGTTTTGTTGTTGCCTGAAAATATGACACTACAACATGATGTCTTCTTCATAAATATCTATCCTAAAAGCAATAATCCACCCTGAGATCCCTGGACAGAAAAGGGCTGCCTGAGGTAGGAAATTTGCTCTCCTGGGGCTGAGTTGGGACTCAGCTGAGAACAGAGCATAGGTAGCCAGTGGCTCAGAGGCTAATTTCTGCAATTCAAATTGGTATAAATTGAGTCTGATTCTTTTCCGCAGGACTGTCCGCAATGTATGATTAAATTTTATACTGGAGCATATTAGAGATATAGACCTTTTACTGTTTCATTGGAACCTTTTAACCAGCTTTCATGCAATCCTGGATGAAGTAAAAATTCCATCCTATCTCTCTTTTAGGACTTTTTAGTTTGCCATCCTCAAAGCAGAAAAGGCAGCCAAGGGGCAGTACTGCTTCTTAAAGACTCTGCTTTTTACGAAATTTTCTTTAATAATCCCCCTCCAATCTTTTTTTTTTTTAACTGCATTATTTGAATCATAAAATAAGTAAAAATTGTACTCAAATGAAATTTGAAAATTATCTTAATGAAGCTCTGGAAACATCTCAAACCTCAGAAAATATTTTTTCCTTAGTTTATTTTTTTAATTCTAGAAAGTAGGTCAAGAGAAATACTCCCCCTTTAGTTGGTTTAATTAGGAATAGAAAATTATAGAAGTAACTCAATTTGAGGTATAGATTGAAATAAGAATTACACTGGGATTAATATCATTTAAGATTTTGAATTTAAGTAAGATGCATTTAATGATAGCCTGTAATTTCTTCTTAAAAAGATTTTAATAGAGAGGAGACCTAAGTGTTAGAATAGATCAGTACATAGGAAAAAATCTGCCATTTTAGGATGTGACAAGGGAATTGCTTTACAGCTATACTTCTCAAATGGTATGTTTAAGAATTTATTCTACAGGACCTTAATAGATAGGACTTAGAGGAGAGGGAAAGTATTCAGTGACCAAGTAAATTAAATTTAAGAAATTGCCTGCAGGACTCCTCAGAGCCTTTAATATTGAGGATTTTTTTTTTTCCAGTTATAGCAATGATGTCTTTACATATGTTGCTTATTCCCCGTTCTATACCTCATGATGTTTTCCCAGTGTATGCTATGAAGGTATAACCTACAATCTGCTCAGTACCTTCCTTCTGTTCATTCATTCAAGTGTGGTTTTTATACCTATGTGTCAGAAATACCTGGGAGCTTTTTTAAAAGATTAAGATTCCTGAACCCTGACCTGGGAGATTCTAAGTGAGTAGAAATGTCACTGTGCTCAGGATTCTGTATTTATTACACACACCCAGGTGATTCTGAGGCAACCAACCCCAGTCTTACAATTAGTGTTTTGGAACTGTTGAACTAAAAGTGGATTGGACTTGGGGTGCACTTAATTCATGCTTGTAGAAACATGGGCTAACCATCCCATACTGGAGATAAACTGCAATGCTGAACTTCAGTGATCCTATAGGGTAAGGTCCTGGCTACAACTTAATGTGAAACAATTGCTATTGATCCTTTAAGAAAAGCGGAATACTTCTAAGGGGGCTTCTGGTCGCCTTTCTAATAAGGAAATACTCTATATAAGATTACCATTTGTTTTTACTCAGTTTGAATAGCTGCCTTGTGGATGATATTTTTATTCATACTTTAAAAATAAATAATAGTTTATGTTTACTCCTAATGCCATATAAGATCATATGCTCTCCCATTTCCTGCTGATAACAGGTAGACATTTAACCTTAAGCAAATAGACCAGATTATATCTCATTTATGCTTTGATTTATGTGAGCTTTTCTGTTAAAACTGTGTGGTTATACTCTCTGATTGGTAAAACAATTCTGTATTCCTGGAAATTCTCTTCTGCTCTGTCTGCTGGAAAGAGACAATATAAATACTGTTGGAGAAAAATAATTACTGTTGGCTTGAGGGGCAACTAGCCTTAACATATCTTGGTTGAATAGTGTTATATTAGCAATAATATATGAAACAGTGTAGACACACTCATTTAAAAGTAGAAATTATCCCCCATTGTTTTAAAATTATTCTCCAAAGTTTTGCCAGTACAATAAGACATGAAACAGAAAAACGGTGTGAGAATTGAAGATTGGAGATAAGTCTTCATTACTTGCAAAAAAAAAAAAAAAATTGTATACGTTGAAACCTGAGAGAAGTTAAAAAATAATGTGTTTAGGGGAGCCTGGGTGGCTCAGTGGGTTAAGCCTCTGCCTTCAGCTTGGGTCACGATCCCAGGGTCCTGGGATCGAGCCCTTCATCGGGCTCTCTGCTCAGCGGGGGGCCTGCTTCCCTCTCTGCCTGCCTCTCTGCCTACTTGTGATCTCTGTCTGTCAAATAAATAAATAAAATCTTAAAAAGAAATAATGTGTTTAATAAACTGATCAGATATCCACAGTTCTTTTGTATACAAACATGGTCGATATATACAGTTTTGTTATTTCTACATGTTAGTTGGTTGGTGAAGTACATAGAGGTATTGTTTGTGTCATCAGGTTAAAGGATCAGGAGAGAGAGCAATGCCGTAAAAACTCAGGGAGAAAAAAGTTTTAAGTAGGGCTTAACCTTGTTAAGGGAGAGAGATCAACTGAAGTGAATCCTAGAGATTTTGCTGATGGTCTGGAGATCCTGACTGCCTTTGGCAGAACCACATTGGCGAAGCAAAGGAGTAAAAGCCAGACCACAGTGGTTGAAGAAGGAATGTAATGAAAATGCCAAGACATTTAACTTGAGTTTGTAATGGAAAAAAAAAGCAAGATTGAGAATTTTGTTGTTGCGGCTGTTTTGTCATTGTGTTTGTTTATTTCTGTAAGCCTTCGTTTATCTCCCACGTGAGCTTGGAAGCTCCTCAAAGGCAGGTTCTCTGCCTCTGCGAGCCTTGCAGCACATAGCACTGCTTTGAACGTATGAGGCACTCACTGGCTTTATGTTTAATTCATGACTGTGAATGAAAGTTTTAAAGCAGTTGATAGTGGGCAAAATACAGAACACATTTCAGGGAGTTCTCATTTATTAAGCCAGGCAACACCAGCTCTGAGACGTGCTGTCCCAGTGCCAGTAGCAGTCGTGCGGCTGCTCATCTCCCTGGCTCTCTCCTCGCCAGTCTCGCTGCCGTTATTTATGGCTGGCTTTGGGGCTTTTCCTACAGCTATGAAACCTACGCAGTGGAACATCACGCTGCTTCTCCTGCAGGGCGTGTGATGAGGAGCGGAGTCTGGCTTTGGAGTGCTCGGAACCAGAGGAATTGCCGAGGACTCAGAGCCCAGCCCTGACCACTAGAGAGCCCACAACACAATGAACAAATTGAACTTCCATAACAACAGAGTCATGCAAGACCGCCGGAGTGTGTGTATTTTCCTCCCCAATGATGAATCTTTGAACATCATCATAAATGTAAGTAGACCCAACTTTAGAAATGTTTGAATATTCTGTTCCCAGAATATGTTCCCAGTGACCACATTCAAGTTACTACCTGGTGAAGGGCGAAAGCCTTACAGAATGAGACCGTGAGTAATGGAGCAGAACTGGGGTGTTAAAGTTGCCTATACAAGGATAAACTGAATTATGGCTTAAGAGCAGCTACTTTCAATCTTCTTTCACCTGGGGGCAAAATTGCAGAATTTTGGTGACCGTATTATAGAAAAACTAACACCTTACTGTTTTACAACTTTTTACTGAAATATAAATTTTTATTAATATATAATGTGAGTTTGCTTTTTAAATGCTTTTGAGTTGACACACACGTGAAATGGTAGTAATTGCTAGCTTCTTACTATGCGTCTTGATCGTTAATAGTAGCCTGAGTCTAGCCAATTTCAGGAAAGGCTGTGCACTTGAGCACTAAGCTCTGGCTTTCAGTTTTTGAGTCAGAGTTAACTGTCTTAGTTAACCTGGACATTAAGGAATAGAGTTATATCTACAGCAAAGTGTAGGGATCTTAAGTGTGCAGCTCAGAGAGTTTTTACAAGTGTATATATGCATGTAATCATCATCCAGCTTGAGATATGCTGTATTTTCAGCACCCCGGAAAGATCTTTTGTGACTCCACCTGGACAATAGTCTCTACCCAAAGGGTAGTAACTGTTTCCTCCTCTGTAGTTTGTTTCTGAACTTCACGCAGCTGAAATTATGTGGTGTGTTCTTTTTTTGTATCTGACTCCGTTCAGTCAACATTTGGCCTATGAAATTCATTTACACTATTGCACGTAACACTAATTCCTTTTCACTGTTGTGCAATATTCCATTGTGTGAATATGCCCAATTTGTTTATTTATTGTTGATGAATATTAGGTTGTTGTAAGTATTGGGCTATTATGAATAAAACTGTTATGAGCATTTTATGTGTATACCCGTAGTATACTTTTCTGGGGTTTATTCAAGAGTAGAGTTGGGAATCTAAGTATGTCTGTGTTAAGCTTTGGCAGAGGCTGCCAAACAGGTTTATAGTAATCAGAATCATGCCTAGCATTTTTTAACCCCTCTCCCTGTTATCAGCTTTCATATTCTTCCTTTTTCTGATTGTATTCAGATGGAATTAGGGAGAAACTTGCCTCAGTGCATGCCTTAAATTGGTTTTCTTTGCTATATGCTAATATATTTTTAACTCAATTGCTATATAAAAGAATATCTCTAAGTGTTATACTGAATATATATGACATTTAAGTAGCTTCATTAAAAAATTTAGACAGGAAAAGGTTCTACTTATTACCATAATTATTTTGGTTTTATTCTGACAATCGCCATAGTTTCTCAGTTTTAGTTTCTTGATTTACTAATGTAACCTCGTTTTTGCTCAGAGGGATTGTCCGAGCATCCAACCTACCTCTTGGATGAATTTTATCATCTGTTGGACAGAATTTCTTTTGATTAACAACATCATTATTCAGAGTACCTGATGTTGTTTTTGAGTATGTGAAGTGATAGGCTATTATTTTTACATTTCATTTTTAAAAATCTAATGAAACTCAACAACCTATCTTTTTCAGTTTGGTCATGGGCAAAATACATTAAAATGTAATTCTACTAATATAGGTGAATATGCTATTTCAGTTTTTATATAGTTATTTTATAAAAAGATACCCACTGAATTTTTTTAAAAAATTCAAAATCAACACATGTAGGCTAAGCACTTAAGAAACTTCTCTCAGGGGGCGCCTGGGTGGCTCACTGGGTTAGGCCTCTGCCTTTGGCTTGGGTCATGATCTCAGGGTCCTGGGATCGAGTCCCGCGTCAGGCTGTCTGCTCAGTGGGGAGCCTGCTTCCTCCTCCTCTCTCTGACTGCCTCTCTGCCTACTTGTGATCTCTCTCTGTCAAATAAATAAATAAATAAAAAGAAAGAAAAGAAACTTCTCTCAGTTCTGTTTATGTCTTTAAACATAATCCACTGGTTGCATTGTATATCCGTTGTGTTCGTGTAAACACTTAGCCACACATATAGGATATGGAATGAAACCTTCCTGACCTCAGGTAAGTGGAAGGCAGACTAATCTGTCTTCATGAGGAATTTTATTCATGAAAAATTTATAATTTTCAAAAAAATTAATTTGTACTAAAATCTCAGCTGAGGAACATAGGAATAACACTTCTGTTACAACTATACTATGTGATTGTGCGAATTGAGGGTTAGCACGTAGCATCATTTCTGACACAACATAGTAGCTGCTATTATTACTTTAATTCCTCATCAGAGATTAATTTTACGTGTCTTCACTTCCCTTATTTTGCAAAATTAGTGTAATATCCCCCACAGGATGGTCAGGACTATGATCATGGATTGTATAGCCGTCTGTCATCATGATTAAGGAGGGTTTTAGAGTCACAGGGACCTTACTTGAAATCCCTACTCCTTGACATACTCTGTAGCCTTGGACAAGTTAGTTGGTTTTTTTGTTTGATTGTTTGTTTTGTCTTTTTTTTGCTTCTGTTTCCTCATCTATAAAGTAGAGATAATCTTCCTCTCCTCATCAGGGTCATTGCGAGGATTTAAAGATATAGCATGAATAAACCGCTAATTGTAGTGCCTGGCAGCTGGGAATTGCTCAGTAAGTGAGCACTTAATAGAGTAGCACTTGTTTTAATTTCTTTGAGCTGTTTGTTCATTTCATTAGGGAGCTCTGTTAATGAAGCTCAAATGGAAAATCTGGACTCCCTCTAGACCTATAAGATTTTCTTATTCCAGGGCACGTAGATTCCCCTGCCATGTCCGAACTTCTGTCTAGCAAGCTGTTGAACAAAGGAGGGAGGAGGGACCGAGTTAAGTAGTGTGGAGGCCCCTCATTGCTAGAAAACCAATTCAGGGCTCCCAAAGGTCTGTCTTTTTCCACAGTGTTATCTTTGTATTCATATGACTGCAGTTGATATTTGTAATGTTGTTGTCTAACAAATTAACTAACAAAAACAGTTTTATTAATGGTCTCATTTTGTCCTCATTTCTAAATTTTTTTTTTTTAAGATTTTATTTATTTATTTGACAGACAGAGATCACAAGTAGACAGAGGCAGGCAGAGAGAGAGGAGGAAGCAGACTCCCCACTGAGCAGAGAGCCTGATGCGGGGCTCGATCCCAGAACCCTGGGATCATGACCTGAGCCGAAGGCAGAGGCTTAACCCACTGAGCCACCCAGGCGCCCCCTAAATATTTTTTAAACAAAGATAGTTTATTCCTTGACATGTGTAGTTGATATGATAGAATGTTGTCTTTCTGCATGTGGGGTAAACTTTGTTTGATCATTCTAGTTTCTCTATGAGTTTGAACTAGTAGGGGATGTTTTAAATGATTTTAATCATCAGGTAAATGTTAAATATGGAAACTTGGTAAATTTTGACAATAAAATTATGGTAAATGTACAAAAAATTTTTGAGTAATATAAATAGTGGCCAGGAGTTTATACCTGTTCACTAAGACTAAAGGAACAAGTCTTTTTTTGGGGGGGGATATACATTAAACATGCTTGCTCAGTAACAATGACATCTATTTATTTATTTCAAATATTTATTTATTTTAGAGAGAGCATGAGCAGGGGGAGGGGCAGAAGGAGAAGGAGAGAATCTCAGGCAGACTCCCCACTGAGTGTGGAGCCTAACACAAGGCTCGATCTTAGGACCCGGGATCATGATGTGAGCTGAAACCAAGAGTCAGACCCTAAACTGACTGAGCCAGCCACTGATGTTTAGGACCAAATGCTGCTTTTATTACCAAGTTCCATATGGAGTGTATTTTTAGATAATACTTTAATTCTTCATAGCTCATACTCTGTATAGCACTTTTTAAAGCTCCATTGCCCCTGAAGATTAAAGAACTTGAAAAATTTCACAGTCAGCTAAAACGTAGCCTTAAAGACTCATAATATACAAATACAAATAACTCAAGCTTGTTTTCACAGCAGGTAAGACTTCAGAACCACAGCCTTACTTAATTACAGTTTTAAACAAGAATACTACTTACTTGATAGTTGTTAGAGGTTTATCAGTAGGCTCCAAATACTTGATTTAAACTTAGCAGAGCAATAAAAAGTATGTGGGATATATATATATATATATATATACACACATATATATGGAGGAAATGTACAGCATTATTTGAATAGCAATTACATAGAGTTACAGCATGGTTTGTGTATATAGTTTGTGGTTTGTAATTTTTCAGTTAACTTTTTATCATGTTTTATCCTAAGAGCTTTGTTTATGACATTTAAAAATACAGTCAAAACTAAGGATTAAAGTTTCCTTGGATGGTATGACATTTTAAGTCTCAAATTTGTAGTATATTATCAAGAAGAAAAGCTTCCTTGTAAAGATACTTGTCTGACTCAGCTTTTGATAATCTGAGTAGCCTGTTTTGGATACCCTCTGAAATATTTATCGTGCACCATGGTTTTATAATAAGGCCTTGTCCATGTGTCCTAAGATTTATGAGTCTTGTACAAGACAGTATTGGTACCTTACTACCATTTCCTAAACATTCGTATTGTGATAATCATTATTGAAATACAATACAGATTAAAGCAATTTCCGTGAACCAATGGTTGTTTCACTAGTGTTGCTTGTAGTTTTAAGGTGTATATTTAGGGTGCATTAAATTGCCTGATTGTGGGGTTGCCTGAGTGGCTCAGTCGGTTAAGCATCTGATTCTTAGTTTCCGCTCTGGTCATGATCTCAGAGTCATGAGATCAAGCCAGCATCAGACTCCGAAGTTCAGCGTGGAGTCTGCTGGAGATTCTTTCCCCCTGCCTCTCCCTCCCACTCGCTACTCCTCTCACTAGAAAGCTTGATCTCTCTCTCTCTCTCTCTCTAAAATAAAATCTTTAAAAAAAATAAATAAATAAAACAAATTGCCTGATTGTGGCTCAGCGAGTAGGCTTGGTTTACTTGCTATCTCAAGTTGTGTTGTGTTGTTTTGTTTTGTTTTTTTCTCTACAGGTTAAAATTCTGTGTCACCAGTTGCTGGTTCAGGTGTGTGACCTACTCAGGCTAAAGGACTGTCACCTGTTTGGACTCAGTGTCATACAAAGTAGGTCTTAGTCCCATCTCTGATAGAATTTAGCTAACTATCCCTGAGGAAATGATGTTTTATAGCTGTAACTTAATTTAGGCACATGGTGATAAGATTGTGATTATCAAAATACCCATAAGCTGGTCATTATTTTTAGTTTAGTATTCATTTTTAAAATCTTAACTGATCTATTTCTTTTAAGATGTAGTATTTTAGACCATGTATTATAGTTTGAACTTAAAAATGGGTTCCTTTGTAGGAATCTAGATTTTGTGTTTGTTCTTTTATGTTTTAATGAACATAAGCTTGGTTTTTGTTTCCTTGCACTTAGGGAGCAGCTGGAGCTAGTAGGCAATTTCTTGAGTGTTTTTATAATTTCTTTTATGATTTTCGACATTAAAGCATTTAGGCATAAGAAAAATAACTCTATTCAAGTTCTCTTACTGTTGACTATATAGTATGACAAAGTGATCTACTAATTTGCTCCTATTTTCTGTTTTTCCCTCTTCACACCTTCTCTTTTTTCCAATTAGACTATATGATATGGAGATAAGGAATCAGTTTTTTCTGTATATTTTCTGTGAAGGTTTTCTCCACATAAAGGTCTCAATACAAGCCTCTTCCCCACCCCACCCCCATAATATCTTGAGTTAAGTTACTAGGATTTGAAATAAATAAATAAATAAATAAATAAAATAAAAATAAAAGTTACTAGGATTTACCTGCAACCATTCCTTATGAGCTTTTTTTTTTCAAATCAACATTTTTAAATTTCTCTAGTCTTATGTCAAAAGACATATGTTTTATATCTTTGATCAGTTTTTCAAGAATACTTTTTTTATGAAATGTATTTAATTATATTTTATACTTCTTTATGAATCATATTCTACTACTGGAATTGGTTTAAATTTAAAGGTTTATGACATGTTGAGAATCTGGTTAGTACCATAAAATGCTTAAATCTTCCAGGTGTGTCATGATCAGCTGATAAACAATGCCCTTCTCCACCAAAATGTGAACCATTTTCAGTTGTCTTTTTAGGAGAGGCCAGAGAACATGGAGCAGGGGGCAACTCAAGAACCAATGAATCCTCCATTCGCTCTTCAGTTTCTTCCTGTAATAGTTAAAGCGATAAAACCACAAATACTTAGCCCCATCCTTCTATCAGTGCATCCTTCTAACAGTGTATCCCTCAGTCACTCTTGAGGAAGGGCCCAGGAGAAATAAGATGCCCTATAGATTCTAAAAAAATTTCCTTTTATTCTAAACTCAAAGTTGATTCTTTTAATTCTACAACAACAGCCAGACTGTTGGTCTGTGTCATTCAACAAGTCAGTCTAATAAAACCAGTTTATAGCTTCCTTAGATTTCAAAACGAGAGTCTTTTTAAGATACCTTTTTTCAAAGAGAGATTGTAGTGTGGAGAAAGAACATTGGAAAAGGAATCAGATGACCTGGTTCTAATTCTGGTTCTACCGCTAGCTAGCTGTGTGGCTTTAGAAATATCACTTGACTTCTCTTGACTTCACTTTTCTCACACGTCAACTGGATATTACTGCTTCACCTGCTTTGTCAGATTTTGATATGTGCTCTTGAATTCTTAAAATATAAGGCCACGCTCAAACTGTCAGATGGTAGAGATGTGGTGGTAGTTTAAAAGTATGTGCTGTTACACAGTGAACAGTCTCAGTTCTCTTTATTATATTGCTTCCTCAGATGGCAGCTCAAGCCAAACTCAAATCCTATTCAATAGGAAGGTTGTCTGGTCTTGTTCATTTCATGTTAATTGGTGGCATATGAGAGATGGGAGATAATTTAGTTGATCTGATAAGTGGATTTAAGTAGCACCCTTTTTTGTCCCTGGGACCTTTTTCCCTATCCCTTTCATTCAAATTGATTGGATTAATATGTCATTTATAAACAGTAGCTCTACCCTTCCTATTGTCTTAGGGCTCTTTTTCAATCAACCCCCCCCCCCCAGCATTCAGTCAGGAGTGACAGTGTGGTCAGGCTTGTTATCCTGGGAGTAGTCAAAGAGACACACTACATTTTTATGCAATGCTTTCCATGAGCATACTTAGAGCATGAGCATACTTTCCATGAGCATCTCTAACCACCTTAGTGGTGGTTAGAGAAAAAGGAATAAACTTTTAAAAAAAAGCTTAAAACTTTGGGGGCCTAGGTGGCTCAGTCAGTTAAGCTGCTGACTCTTAGTTTTGGCTCAGGTCATCACCTCATGGTTGTGGGATCTAGTTCAGCAGGGAGTCTGCTTCAGATTCTCTCACCTCCCTTCCCCTTCTGCCCCTCTCCCTGCACACACATCTGCTCTCTCTCTCTAAAATAAATAAATAAAATTTTTTTAAAAGATTTTTTATTTATTTATGACAGAGAGAGAGATAGCGAGAGAGGGAACACAAGCACAGAGGAGCTGGAGAGGGAGAAGCAGACTCCCCTCTGAGCACAGAACCCGATATGGGGCTTGATCACAGAATGCCGGGATCATGACCCTACCCAAAGGCAGACACTTAATGACTGAGCCACCCAGATGCCCCAATAAATAAAATCTTTAAAAAAGAAGACTTAAAACTTTGTATGAGATAGGAATGTTGAAGGGTTTTGTTGTGAAATATCCCTTTTAAAAGATTTTCTTTGGGAAATCTGAAATTTTTTTTTTTTAAGATTTTATTTATTTGACAGATACAGATCACAAGTAGGCAGAGAGGCAGGTAGAGAGAGAGGAGGAAGCAGGCTCCCCGCTGAGCAGAAGAGCCTGATGTGGGTCTCTATCCCAGGATTCTGGGATCATGACCTGAGCCAAAGGCAGAGGCTTTAACCCTCTGAGCCACCCAGGCGCCCGGGAAATCTGAAAATTTTAATTATTTTTACCAGCTTGTCTTCAACTTTAGATCATTTTTGCATGGGTTTTCAACAATCATAGTTTCTGCTCATCTTAAGAACATCATCCCCTTGAGGAAACACTTTGGCATTCTTTTTTTGTATGAGATTCTTCTCATTCCACAGGATCAATCCCAAAGGCAGTGAGAGCAATGGATTGCCATTTTATCAGGCTGTGTTATAGTGGAGAATAGAGAAGCAATAGTCTTAAAGGCTGTTGTTCACAAATTGTGGGTCAGGCCCCTCACTTGGAAATAGGTATGTCCCTTAATATCTTACATAGCAGTTAGGATGGTGTTTCCGCCCTGTTTCATTATTCTGCATCTGTGATGATAATACTCTGTGAACTCAACAAAAGCATGTTTCTCTAAGAGCAAGGAAGCCCACAGTGCTGGAAGTTTGTGCGTTAGGATGACCATAGAAACTAAGTAAAAACATGAGGTGGAAGCTAATGTTTCTTCTAAATATTATAGATTTTTAATAGCATGTGTTCTGTATTGAAAATGCAAAATAATTCATTAAAAAGCTCCTTAATGTCTAACCAACCTTTTGTCTTTTAGTATCTTGTTGAGTTTTTGTGGTACTATGTGACTTCAGAACACATTTACAAATCTTGAGGCTTTTAAAAAAATAAAACCTGTCTTTGTGTATATTCTTTTCTTTTAAATCTTTTCTTTGTCATCTTGTCTCCTTTTTTAATGTGCAGATAATGAACATGTCTATATGGAGTTGTCACAAAAGCTGTATAAGTATTGTCCAAAAGAATGGAAGAAAGAGGCCAGCAAGGTACGACAATACGAAGTCACTTGGGTGAGATTACATTTATAAGCAAAATTATTTTGATCTTTTAAAGGGTTTATTTTAGCTGTTATACATTAGAAAAACATTAAATTTAAAAATTTTAATTCATAAAAATATTATGAAGTAGAGAATGGGAAAGGGAAATGAATAATTAAGTTCCACAATGTCATGTTAATGAAGTGTTAGGAGCTTATAGCATATAACAGTAGATTTTAGATCTCTGCTTATATATGACTGCCTGGGTGGCTCAGCTACTTAAGTGACTGCCTTAGGCTCAGGTGGTGATCCCAGGGTCCAAGGAGCCCCAGGTTGGGCTCCTTGCTCAGCTGGGAGGCTGCTTCTCCCTCTCCCTCTTCCTGTCACTCCCCCTGCTTGTGTGCACGTGCTCACTCTCTCTCTCTCTCTCTCAAATAAATAAATAAAATCTTTTTTTTTTTAAACATTTTATTTATTTATTAGAGAGAGAGACAGTGAGAGAGAGCATGAGCGAGGAGAAGGTCAGAGGGAGAAGCAGACTCCCCATGGAGCTGGGAGCCCGATGTGAGACTCGATCCCGGGACTCCAGGATCACGACCTGAGCTGAAGGCAGTCGCCCAACCAACTGAGCCACCCAGGCGCCCAATAAAAATCTTTTTTTAAAAAAGATATCTCTTAAATAATGTTGGATAATAACTTTGTAGTAATTTTGGGATAATGCTTTGAAATGAAAACCATGAAAAAAATGCTTACTCCTCTTTTGTGACTCTATTAGCTGTCAAAACTGATGTTCTAGAAGTTATTCATAATTTTTTAATCTACTTTTACTAACCTTTGATACTTTGTTACTTTTTGTTCTGGTGGTGTCTTTATTTAGTAAACATCAATTCCATTTACATGGGAGATCATTCACAGGGAGTTTACCTAGTGTTTCCAGGATCATCCTAGTAAATCAGGAATAAATCCCTAGTGTCTAATCCTAGATCCTCCAATTTGTATTTTAAGAATTCTTGGGATAAACGGGAAGTCTTCTTGAAAGCCAACTACAAAGTAAGGCACATTAAAGCCTAAATAAACAAACAGCATATTAGAATTTGGTATGTGGAATGTCAGAGGAACAAGAGAACATTTGTAATGAGGAGCAAATGGTCACCACAGGGGATAGAGCTGGGAGAGGAGCTGGATCTCAACTAGAAATTTCCACTGGTATTTATTTTTATCTTCCCTTATGTTGTCATTGGCATTACGGTGAATGAGTATCAGATACATGATGATGCTTTATAACTTCCCAGGTTTGCATGAACTTGGTATCCATCCATATGGGACAATTGTCTGCCCTCTGCCAGCCTCCACTGCCCTCCTCCACATTAAAAGTAGATAAAACCTTTCAAGACTTAAAAACTGTCTTGTAAATAACGGTATTTTGTTGATTTGGAAACCCCTTGTAGTAACTAAAAATATCTTCCTTTTTATATGTGTCTTTGTTTTAGGGTATTGACCAATTTGGACCTCCCATGATCATTCACTTCCGCGTACAGTACTATGTGGAAAATGGCAGACTGATCAGGTATGAGGACAGGAATTCTATATCTTTACTCTCCTGCAACACTCACCTTCTAACATACTGAATAAAGTTCCTGTGTGTGTTTGTCTCCAGCTGCTATGATAAAAATTCCAAAGGGGAGGAATTAAAAAAAAAAAATCTTTTTGTATGCTCATGTATCCTCAGTTCCTAGAACAGAGGTTCAGTAGACACTGAATAAATATTTGTTGAATGAATGAATGATAAACTATTGATAAAAATGTTAATAATATCACTGCCGCACATTTTCTATACTCCACGATTTTGATAACAAATCAGTCAACAAAAAGATACTTCATTCGAGAAGGAACTAGCATTTTTGTGAAGAATAGAAAAACTAAAGGATTATATTCTTTTCTGGGGGTAGGGTGGGGAGTAGTAGGGCAAGCAAGCAAGAACTCTCTCCTATAAAAATGCATGGTGTTTATACAGCCTGGTTTTCTTTTCACTTTTGGGGTCTCGCTTCTGTTGTTAGCAGTAGCTTTAAAGCTAAGATTACACCCACTGGAGCTCTCCTGTGAGAATCCTAGATGCGGTTTGGCAAGGGCAAGTGACTGATTCTTTTTCCGGAAGTGGGTGCGTGAACAATACTATGCTCATGATACAGACCCAGAATTTACCATCTCAGAAGCTCAGTTTATCACTTGTATAGGAGGGGTCAGTGCCAGAAACTTTCAGAGGTGGTGGTTTTGTTGGCCCATAGAAAATACTGGAAATGTGGATTCTGTTTTACTTATTTACTTTTAAACTCTGAGAAACGCCATGTAAAAGAGACAGATACATTTGGCTAATGAGTTATATGTGAAGTTCACTCTTAATATTTGTATTTTATAATACCAATATTGTAAATTTAAGAGTAAAAAATATTAACCCATAAATAATTTTTTTAAAAGGCTAAGAAACTTTTTTAGTAAATTTATGTAAAATTTTTACTCATTTTACCTATTAAGTGTGGAATGTGCTGAAAAGAAGCAAAATATGTTATGTAGCCACTAATTAACCCTCTGGGACTAATGAATGTTTAATTCTCCACGTACTTCTGTCCTTTTCCCCAGGGATGAACTAGTCCAAACACTGTGTGGTCAGCATTATAAAAAGAAGTGTTCTGAAAAGTATTCTGTCCCGAGGGGGAAAAAAGTTACATAAATGCCTTATTTTTAAACTTTTCATACTTAAACACCATCTTAGTTGAAGTCAACCCATGTTTTTATTGTCATCAGCTGATGAGCTATGAATCTCAGGTAAACATTGGACCTAAAATAATAGGAAGGCAAATAAACTCCTTAAACACACACAGACACACACACACACACACACACACACACACACACACACACACACACTTTTTTTTTTCCCTTGCATTTTTACTTTGATCACAAAGGCGTCCCGTTTGCCTGTGACATTTTTTGGAGCTTGACCATGTTTTTCCCCAGTCAGCACTTCTTACTCTATGTATTTAATGGGAACTATTTTTATTTCTGACCTCAACAGATTGTAATGAGTGCATTATTAGTATTTCCATTTGTGAGGAGCATCATGATTGTCACAACATGTGCTTATAAAACCACACCCATAAAGTAACATCCGCTTAAAAAAAAAGATTTAAGGCAAGCTTTTTTTTTTTTCCAGTTCATTCATTCTGAGAAAGAAAAAAAAAAAACAACTGTAGAGTTAAATTTTTTTTAAATGGGCACATAAACAGAAATATTTTTTTTTTAAAGAGAGAGAGAGATCACAAGTAGGCAGAGAGGCAGGCAGAGAGAGGGAGAAGCAGGCTCCCCGCTGAGCAGAGGGCCCGATGCGGGGCTCAATCCCAGGACCCTGAGATCATGACCTGAGCTGAAGACAGAGGCTTAACCCACTGAGCCACCCAGGTGCCCCAACAGAAATATTTTTAAAAGGGCCTTAGAGTACTTGTAAACCAAACCAAAACAGAACAACAAAACATTAGAGCCAGGATCGTCCCTTCAGATTTGTCCTTGCTTATGACATATGTGTAGCATTATTACAGCAAAATAATTTTTAATGTGGACAACAAATGCCTAGGCTTCTCTACTAATCCTTGTTCAATGAAATGTTTACCATATTGGAGTGGAATGATTCAGACCTTGTTTCCATTCTCTGAATGAATCAAAGGTTATAGGCCTCTGGAAATGGTATGTTTGCTATTGGGTAGTCTGACTTGGAGTTCTGCCTCCCTGTGACTTGGGTGCAGCAATCAGGTATCAGCTATAACCCTCCCCCCCTTTTTTCAAGGAGTTAACTGGGGGGAGGAAAGAAGAGGGAGCAGAAACAGAAGAGCTCTTGTCACCAGATGGATAGCAGGATTTGGGTTCTGTTTACATGCCATCAGATTGTTCCATCAAATGTGAGTTCTGTTTTCTTTTATTTTCCCAGTGACAGAGCAGCAAGATACTATTATTACTGGCACCTGAGAAAACAAGTGCTTCATTCTCAGTGTGTGCTCCGAGAAGAGGCCTATTTCCTGCTGGCAGCCTTTGCCCTGCAGGCTGATCTTGGGAACTTCAAAAGGAATAAGCACTATGGAAAATACTTTGAGCCAGAGGCTTACTTCCCGTCTTGGGTAGGCACTGTTTTCAAATTTTAAAGTGTTTTCTCTAGCACATTTCTAGTTCATTATGCTGCTACTTGTGTTGCTTCAAGAAATGGGAACCCAGATATTTGTGGCCAGGAAAACCTTTCATGATGCCCAAATATAAATTTAACACTTGAGAGCACTGTACACATGATCTCTCGATACAGCTCATCTGCTCCTTAGAGTTACCAGGCAAGAATATTGCTATCCGTCCTAAACAGGGTGCAACTTGGAAGTTGCTGGCCTGCTTTTGGCATGTACATTGTCTTTACTTTCTTACTTCTTATTCAAGCTTCCATCTTCTTCCCTTTGGAGGGAGAAAAACATTACTCTGTAAAAAGTTAGATCATGCCCACCACCAACCCCCCCCCAACCTCTGGGCTCTGTAAGACTCTCGACAAAACGTTTTGCATCTCCTTTTCAAATGATCTGTTTATCTTTTGCCTCCAGTAAACTGTTGTTCAGTATCTTCTAAAGGACAGGCACAAACGTCACCTTTACTTTTTCTTCAGCATTTCAGAGTGAGGTGCTCCATGTGAGTTTTTGTGGACAGATTAACAGTGCTCCAGTTGTTGAAGAGAAACCACAAAAGGTGTCAGGCTTTTACATATCAGTGTCTCTGATTAGCCCATATTTTCATTGCCTGGTTGTTGTCAGGTACTCACTGAATCTTGGTCCTTTAAATCCGAGCTCCCCGTCAGGGTGCCACAGCCTCCAGTATGCTGAGATCCAAGTTCCTTCAATCTTTGGGATCACCAAAGCCACCTACTTTAGTGCCCTTACAAATACTATTTTCTGTGTGTTCTTTGACCGGAGAAAGTTTGACAAATGCTCACTTAGGTGATCTCCATGTAAAGGAGTCTAGAAGGAAAAAATCTATAACTCTGAGTTCTCAGCAAAACCTCTTAAATGGCCCAGTAATTGATCATGTATAATTCAGTAGGAAGAAACATAATGTCAGTATCTATAAAAACATTTTCAATCTAAAAATCCTTTAATTTTCTTATTCTGATGATTTTAAGCACTAATCCTTTTGCTGTCTTCACATAATTCTTTCCATATTTTATAATTCTCATTGAACTAATCAGTACCTTTCTCTTAGTCTGCAGCTGCTGGCTACTATATATTTGGGGCATTTAAAGGCTCAGGCTACTGTCCCATGAAAACCTGAGCCATGTTGAATTGTAATGAATGCTTGAATGAAATCGTTTTCTCACAAGTATTCAAATTGAGTGTTCATATCAGCGTTTTATGCAAAAACCAGAAATGTTTCGGAGAATTCCTCTCAGTCCCCTGCCTTCTTTGGATTAACATTTAGAACCTCCCACTCTGGCTGTAATTTTAGAAGAGTTAAGTAGGATCCAGAACCTGAAGATAATGTTGACAGTCAATGTATTTCATGGTACCAGTCATTTTGCAAGTATAAACAGTGATGTGTACAAAATTTCACAAGTTTGCATGTTTTTTTTTTTCCTCTTGGTGAGTTTAAAGCCAAGAGAACATATTTTTCTCATTTCTTGTGATTTTTCTTCTCAGATATGCAGTATTACAGCTAAATCGACTTTGTAGCTTCTAGTATTAGCTGATTCAGCCTAGTAACATAACAGATGGTGAAAATGGAATGAAAGTGGGAAATTTCCTACTGGAAATTAGCCAGTTTACATGGCCTATTTTAGGTTCTTGTCCTTTCATCATTTTGAGGGTGAGGGTAGGACTTCCATCCTTCCAACAAATGTTGCATTGCATACCCATTGTATTCCAACAGGTTGTTTCCAAGAGAGGGAAGGACTACATCCTGAAGCACATTCCAAACATGCACAAAGATCAGTTTGCACTGACAGCTTCCGAGGCTCATCTTAAATACATCAAAGAGGCCGTCCGACTGGATGACGTTGCCGTGCATTACTACAGATTGTATAAGGTACAGAACTGTAGTGTGTCTATAGCTTCTGAGCAAAAAATACCTTCTTGATTAGAAGCTTTTATTAAAATTTGTCATTTCATTTTTTAGTGGCCTTTTTATATGTAATTTTTAAAAAAATTTATTTGAGAGAGAGACAGTGCACAGGCCCACAGGCGAGGGTAGGGGAAGGGACAAAGGAGAGGGAGAGAGAGAGAATTTTGAGCAGACTCCACACTGAGCGTGGAGCCCTACACAGGACTCGATCTCCTGACCCTGAGATCACAACCTAAGCTGAAACCAATAGTTCGACACTTAATCAACTCTGCCACCCATGTGCCCCATTAAAGGGCTTTAAAAAAAAAAGTTTCAGGTGAACTCTTGTCATAGGTCAGTCTCGGAGTTAATGATGCTTTTTCTCAGGCCTGGAAGCACAATGGAATCTTTTTTCTTCAGTGGTTCTAATATTGAGATAAAAAGTGGCTTCAGATCATGAATCTGGCTTTTCAATGATTATGAAATAGTTATTTTTCTCTTTTCCAAGTCTGCATGTCTGCCTTGGGGACTAACATTTGCAACTTATTTGATTAGTAATTTTTAATATTCCTCAGAGTGAAGCCATACTTGCATTGTATCCACGAATAAGAACCACCACCACAGCTAATGTTTATTGAGTATTGTTTCCTTGGGGCACACTTTATTTTTTTTTTTAAATTCTCACAATTCTGTAAGATAGAAACTGTGATATTCATTTTGCAGAAGAGGAAACAGACCAAAGAGCACGAAGCTAGCAAGGTAGAGCCAGGATTCAACCCAAGTCTGCCCGACTAGAAGAATTTATGGATAAAAAGTGTTGAAAAGAGTGCCCAGCACTTGTTAAGCCTGATGTTCAGCTGTTAGCATCATCAATGTTACTGTCAGGCTTTTTCTTACTACTACACTCTTTGTGGTAAGATTAGCATAACCGGACCAATGGAGGCTGGACTATAGTTTGGCTGTGTTACTGAATAATCTCCCTGGCTGGGTCAGAAAACTTAATACGGTACCAAAGAATTTTTTTTTTCTTGCTTCCATGCCCAAGAGATGCATCGTTACTGTCCTGTCACCCTCGAGAGGCATAATTGAGTTCCATAAGATCTCTTTGGCCAAATTCCTGAAGGACTGTGTTGTTATTTCTTTTTTTCCTTAAGAGATTTCATTTGTGACACCTCAGTGTATGAGAAAATGACATTTGATGATCAGTTTGTATTTTAAAATATACTGGAAGCATGAATGGTGTATAAGGAAAAATGTGGCTTTAGAGTCAGATATTAGAAACCCTACATTACCACTGTTATGGGATCCTAGGCAAATATAACTCTAATCCTCGGCCATCTAGGGTTCTGTACAATTCACAAGGTTGGGAAAATTCTGTGAGATAGTGAATCTGAAATGACCAGGTGGAATGTGTGGCACATGAATCCGTGCTCAGAATACCAACCGCTGCTTCTTCGATAGGGAACTTAGTATTTTAAAGAGTCCTGTTAAGAATCCCGTAGTAAAGTAAATATCCCCAACTTATTTTTTGTGTAAAATTAATCTTTTACTGGCGTACAGTGTGGTACTTCTGTATGGCATAGAAAATGACCCTCTCACCTGCTTGAAACAAGATAAGTAATAATAATATAACTGAATGAAGTGGGGAAACAGATATTGGGCAGAGTTCTCATTCTTTAGAGAAATCAAGTGGCTATTAAAAATGCTTCATGTTTAAGACCCGCTTGTGAAGTGGAAGTTATAAAGTAGAAAGAGGACAGGCAACATTCTGGGAAAAGAAACTCCTGAGGCCCTTTCACAGTAACACACACCTTGTGCCCACCCAGCCAGAGTTTTTATGAGCACAGTCTTATTTCAGGAAGCAATCAGAGTAGCCTTGAAGAGGAAATTGACCTAAACTCACAGTAATAGATTGGTTTCTCCTGTTAAACCTATACTGTATGTGCCTTTCTTGATGTAAAAACATACGCGTTAGAAAAAACAGCCCCAATAGTGAAAATAGGCCACGTCTTGTCTTTACTATGCCAGACAAGGATGCATTTTCTAAACACATTTCTTCCCGTGTTCATGGGAAAACAGGCCCTAAACAGACTCATTTATTTTTATTGAAGAATCTCATATGAAAATATTTTGGTTACTGAGTAATTTTATTTGTATTCTGTTTGGAACTTCATACCTTATATCCCATTATTACAGATAAGCACTTAAAAGACGTGGCCCAATTTCAGAATACATTTAAAATTCAGAGACCATTTCAGGAATTTTTTCCCATATGCTCATTATAGTTTATTTTTTATAGTTTATGGTTTAGCTGATAGAATGGATATCTTATTATATGCAAGTGATGAATCACTGAACTCTGCCTCTGAAACTAATAATACAATATATATTAATTAAATGAATTTAAATAAAGCTAAAAAAAGAATGTATATTGTATTGGCAAGTGATAATTGAATTTCTTAGAAATAAGTATTTTCTTACCAAACTAAATATAAAGCCTTTACATGCAGCCTTTTCTCCTCATGAAATGACAGCCTTAAGTATTAGGCTGCCTCTGATTTTGGTTTCAGAGCTGGAGGGTTACACAGTTTGAAACCTATAAAATCTAGTGCATCTCAGAATATAGTTATAACATTGTATTCAATATTCTAATATCTGAGAAAAGGTAGAAAACTTAAAAAAAAAAGATAAGGGGCAAAAATAGTCTTGTTTATCAGAGTTTCAATAATGTAAATATTTAGAATATTATCAGATATGAGAGTGTTATATGATATAGTGACAATACTAATGTTCTGAAATCTCAGTGGCTTAAAAAGTAGAATATATCATTATTGATTTAATATGTACTCAAGACTTTCTTAAATCTTATAGTAAAGTAGGGATGCAGAAAAATGAGCAAAGTACATTTTTCTTGTGATCTTATTTCTATAGGATAAAAGGGAAATTGAAGCTTCTCTGACCCTTGGATTGACCATGCGGGGAATACAGATTTTTCAGGTTCGTAAATGAGAAATAAGTGTCATACGGTATCTACTGTGTCTTATGTTGACAGTGTTCTTGTCTGGTCCTTTGATAGGTTCACTGGTTCATTTCTGGCCATTGCTTCCTATTTTTCTTCCAGATGTGGATGAGGTAGGATAGATAAAGTGATACAGTCCAAACCTCGACAGTAGTAAGTCCTCCAGAACAGAAAAGAATAAGCCAGATTGACCCAATTTCATCACTAATAGATCATTAATATCCAGACATTCTTCTTTGTGGTTATGGATTTTAAATATTCTCTTTTATCCTCTGGAGCATTATAACTGTGTAAAGAAAAAAATGACATTTTAATACAGTGCCAGACCAGACATTTTAATTTCCATTACACTTTTCTGATAAAGCCTGTCGCTTGAATAAGTAATACCTGTCACGTTCTTGCAAGTGGGGTGGTGTTATACTGCAGCCATCAGCAGGGGAGAGAGTATGCCTCTTTCTGTGAGACCAAGGAGAATATAAGGTTCTCTTATCTTTGATTTAGGCAAATATCCAGTTATGAAAGTCTAAGTGCCTTATCTCTTGAATGCCTGAGTCTTGGACTTTTTATTTAAACTTAGGGATAGGCTCAAAGGGAAAAGATTGCCTTAAAAGGCCAGATAATGACTCACTCAGGAACCCAGAGCTACAGTTTTGTGTCACTAATCTTTTGATTATTATCTGAACATCTCCAAAGAGAGTTGAGGACCCCTATCAGAGTTTAATTACTGTATTTTAGTTTTCCAGAAGAGAAGTTAGAGCCATTGTAGAGTGTCTGGTATTTTCCTCCATAACTCTGTATGCATTATAATTTTCCCACAGAATTTAGATGAAGAGAAGCAATTGCTTTATGATTTCCCCTGGACAAATGTTGGAAAGTTGGTGTTTGTGGTAAGTTTAAAATAACTGAGTAAAGAAAAATTGCCCAGTTGTTTGTTTTTGTGGATTTTTGTTGTTCCCTCTTTTGTTTTGTTTTTAAAAATAATACTGTCCTAGGCAAAAAAGTTTGTATTTTTAAAAAGTTGTCAAAGAAGACAACTAGCTTTCTTACATTCTTACTGTATGTGCTTTAATCCTTGCCACTCACCAAGAGTGAACCTAAAATTAAAGAATCTTACAGCAAAGGAATTACAATTTTAATTTGTGGGTTTGGTCCCAACTATGCTATCCTAAGTTACTCTAGTCACAGAAGAAATGTAGTGGGGGAATGTACAAGATGAGTTTATCAAACAGAATTGTTTTTAAAAGCAAAGGGATCAGAAAACAGAAAGCCATAATCCCAGGATAAATTACTCATAGCATGGGGGTTCACCAGTTCTTTTGGAAGTTACTTCTTTTGAGCAGAGAATAAAGAATGATAACAAGATGTTTCTATTCATATCTATCTCTTTGAAACTCATCATTACAAAGAAAGGTCTACAGTTCTTAATAGGAGAAATACTGTTATTTTTAGAATATTGAGAATAGTATTCTTTTTTCATTGCAAGAGCAAATTCATGATTTTTCCCAGCTGTTTCTCTACCTTGCCAGCTATATCTGGTTTTTGGTAGGGTTCAAAGAATTACAGTTAATAATATATATGTCTAGTGGTCATTAAAATCCATATTTTTTTCTTTGTTCAGAAATTGTTGGAAAAAATGCCCAAAGAAAGTAGGACAATAAAGATTTGTACACGTGTGCTTCTCTCCCATAAGGAAGATGGCCTATATAAACAAAGGGCTGTATTGCCAAATAGCATTTGGGCACTGACTCCACACTGCCCTGTGAAGTCAAAAGATCTGTTCCTGACTCTACATTATTCTAATTACTTGGGCACACTTCAATCTGATTCCACTTTACTCATACATCGAATGGGGCCTGACCTCCTCCTCACTTAGTCTCTCTCATCCAGGCCCTTTGTGAAAGGATCTGAGCAATATGAAAATGAGAAAATTATTACCCCAGTTGTCCCTGTCATGTCCCAAATTGAGTAGTAATAAAATGCATTTATGAAATTGAGTGCTTTAAGGGTCCTGGACTCCGTGGTTCCTGAATTGAATTGTGCATCAACGTTATGTGAAGAGCTTAAGATAAAGATTTCTGGGTCTCGTCCTCCTCCTCTGAAATTTTTGATTCAGTGAATGTGGGTTGGGAACAAGGCATCTATTCTGATGAATTTCCCAGATGACTCTTCTCGTGGCCAGCCCATTCCTGCCCAAGTTGTAGGACCTTGAGTAAGTTATTTAACCTGTGTGCCTTGGTGTCTTTGTTTCCAACTGGGGATAATTTGTCCTCCCCCATAGGCTTATTGTGAGGATTAAATGAGTTAATACCTTCCTAGTGCTCATTAAGTGACAGTTATTACCATCCTAGCATTGGGATCCACCGGTGGTTCCTTTAAAATGAAAAGTCGAGGGGTGAAAACTCCATCCCCAACTGAGAAACACAAAGTCATATTGTTTTGTATTAACTTGAAGTGTATAGTTGGAAGATGCCTCCCGCTTTGCTTTACTTCTCCCCTCTGGCTGAGAATTGTTCGGAATATTCCTTTGCAGGCCTGCTGCCATATTCATTAATAGGAAAGGTGAAGGAATTTATAATATCCAATGACTATAAGAAACTTTGCCAAACTCTCCTCCTTAACTTAACGTTAATGAACTTTATGTTAATGATCCCAGGCTTAAAGAATGAGAGATTCCTTATATCTCTACTGATAGAGATACTTACACTACTTCTATCTCTTCTTTTCTTATCCCTCTAACTGTCCCTCTAGCTTCCAGCTCCCTCTTTTTTTTTTTTTTAAAGACTCTGTATGCCCAATGGGGCTTGGGGCTTGAACTCACAATCCTGAGATCAGGAGTTCCATGGTCTACTGACTGAGTCAGCCAGGTGCTCCCCCGTACTCCCCGCCCCAGCCTCCCTCTTTGATCCAGCTAAAGAAGTTTTTCCATTTTTTTTCTTAACCCTAAATAGGAATTTGTAGTGTTTGCTCTCATAACTTCTTATTTCCTCCCCAGAGTTTATGACAAACTATAGTTATTTTATGTGTTTATGTACCGTCTCTCCCACCAGAACATATCTCTACGAAGGTAGGCACCTTGTCTGTCCTACCCACTGTCATTTTCTCAGTGACTAGCACAGTGTTTGGTACATAGTGTTTAACAAATACGTGAATGCATTATGCTTCTAGAATTTGTCAACTTGTTTGCTGTATTAGGTGTTGGAATTGCATTAGAAGATGCTTCCATGATGGGCCCCTCTTTTCTCCATCATATAAACGGCCCCATTAGCTAGAGAAACCAAAGATACTCCTTGACTATCATTCCCAGTCAGTGTTTACCAGAAGACCCTGGCTAGACACTTCCCTGAATTTTTGGTAAACGTAGTCCTGTGGCATTTTTGAATAAAAAAACAATAATTTGTCTCTGAGTGAATTTTGGATGGAGCTTTCTACATCTATTTCTGAGACTGGAGTCTTCCTTAGTAAGAAGACAATGAAGGGGACCCTGGCAAACGAGAGACTTCTCTTCCCAAATCTGATGTGTGCTTTCGCTTCACAGGGTAAGAAATTTGAGATCTTGCCGGATGGCCTCCCCTCAGCCAGGAAGCTCATCTACTACACGGGATGCCCCATGCGCTCCCGACACCTGCTGCAGCTCCTGAGCAACAGTCACCGTCTCTACATGAATCTGCAGCCCGTGTTGCGCCACATCCGGAAGCTGGAGGAAAATGAAGGTATGGCGGGGTCTTGGGCAGGGCAGCCAGTGGTGCTTTTGCCACCTGGGCCCTTTACTGTCTAGAGCCCTGAAGAATAGGATGCAAGGGTTGGGCCTCTCAGATTCAGAGCAACATTCCTGTTCGCCTCTCCTCAATGTCCTGGAAGACCAGGGGTAGCCTTGAGGCCCACCAACCGCAGCACCTGTGCAGAAGACCTGAGGCTGTCCCTGTCATTCAGCTGTCCCTGGGTACAGTCTCTCAAGTTTCCCCACACTTGCCTTGAAGATGGTTACAGAAAGCCATATCATGAAGGTGCAAGCCAAGGTTTAGTGGCAGTTCGGAGCACCTTGGGATCTGGAATTTTTTCCAGTGCGATTATTCCTTAGATTAGAGTGACAATAAAGGTGGGTGACAGAATGTCTCCAGTCTCTCTCATAGACTGCCAGGAGGCCCCCAGTCTAAGTGAGCAGGAATGACAAAGGAGAAAGAATTTCTTTTTTTTTTTTTTTTTTGATTTTTTTTTTTTTTTTTTCAGAGAGAGATCACAAGCAGGCAGAGAGGCAGGCAGAGAGAGAGAGAGAGAGAAAGAGAGAGGAGGAAGCAGGCTCCCTGCTGAGCAGAGAGCCCGATGTGGGGCTCGATCCCAGGACCCTGGGATCATGACCTGAGCCGAAGGCAGCAGCTTAACCCACTGAGCCACCCAGGCGCCCCAGGAGAAAGAATTTCTTACTCAAGGATTTTATCAGCCAGTCCCGCAGGGGCTTTGCTGAGATGCAGAAGAGAGCGAATCATTTGGGGCCCCTTAAACAGGGGGACCTGTCATGGTAAGGAAGAGCTCTACAATATTAACCGGATGGTTAACCCTTCATCTTGAGCTCTGGCACCCCAGGGTGTCTCCACTTAACACACTCCAGCTTCTAATCCCCCCAAATGTTAGTTTGCATATTTGCCTATTTTAATGTCTTCAATTTGTTTTGCAAATTCGCATTGTGGTAATTCTTACAATTCAATTAGATTAGATCTAGGATATCTGCATGAACATTTGGATGCAGATTCATATTCGGGGTCATGTTGGAAATAAATTTTGACCTCTCGGACCCCACCTTTCCTACAGAAACCCGACAAATACCTGTCCTCTTAACAAAAAAACCTTATAGCGGCTTGCACATCAGAGCGATTTCTCCCGAAAGCTATCTCTAACTGAATGAGACACAGTTTGGAGATGCCATTGCTTTGTAAGCAGCCATTACAACATGAATCATTCCCCGCCGTCTGCCACCAAACTGCTTCTGTCTTTGGAGAGAACTGGCGTCACTGCCAGGTGTCCCGGCTTCCTCCGCGGCCACACAGCCAGTTCCTCCCCACCATGACTCATTGGTAGAACAGATCACATCTCTCCAGTGCTGACATGAATCTCAGGAGGAAGGAAGATGGGACAGAAGCACCAAGGAAACTTGTAAGAGTAGGTGACCTCCGTGTGGAGCCCATCATTTGTCAAATTGGCCACATTCCTAAATGGCCAGCTTGTAGGGCATAGAGAGTTATTCCATGAGCTTTGCCATCAGCATTTTAGTACATTCTTGTTTAGATGACCTTAAGGGGAGCCCTTTAGAGCCTGAGAATTCACGAACCTCCCTTATAGGTTCTAAGGTAAAATTACAAAAAATTTTCAGTTCTTAGAGGGCAGGGTTTCTCTCTTACCATATATAGATAGTACCAAGTGCCTATTTGGGGCTTACATGAGGAGGGCAATGAAGAAATGATAAAGGTGTGAATTAGATTTTTTATTTGGATAAATGCAGATAAATTTGGGGGGATATCTTTCTTTATTTTTCTAAACCAGATTTAGTTTCTTAGTTTCTTCTACTTACAGATTCTTCTAGGTCTAAAGAAAGCCTGAATTAAGTTTCTCTGGGCCAGCCTTGGCCTGACTCCATTTTTCTCATCCACACTTAAGGGCTCCATCATTTTTACAAGAAAGCTCTTTTCTCAGTCTTGGTTTAGCAAAACAAGCAAACAAAAAGCTCAACACAAAAAGAGACTGTGTTTTTCTTTAGAGTCACCTTGTCTGAAACACTCTTTTAGCATTTTATAATAGGAAATGATCACAAGAATTCTTCTGTAGCATTAAAAGAGAAGTAAAAGAAAAAGAAATGCTTTTGTCATGAAAAAGATTTTTTAACCCAACTTTAGTCAGCAGCTAGAGCTTAGTTTTTAGGTCTTATGTCAAGAGGTCACACTGCATTCTGTTCGAAAATCATGTTATCAAAAGCTTTATGGTCTCTGGGCTTTTACAACAAAGGGAATACAAAGAATGCCAACACACTGGTGATCTGTGCTGTTGACACCATTGATTACTAGGGAGGTGAGGTTGCATTTTGCAATAAATAAATTTCAGAATTATGTAAACATATCCTTCAGTTAGTAACCGAGTGGTATGATACTACTTAAATGTCTGCACTGGGTCTAAGTGCTTCAGCCCTAAGAAGGGAACACTGGCCAGCCACATAGAACACTGAGGCTGCTCCAATAAGTTGACAGGAAGTAGATTAACGCTAGGCTCCTATGAGGTAGAGGACAGGTTGGCAAAAGCTTATCTTCTGGTATACTAATGAATATAGAGTAACTGTGATTGACTCTGAACGTGCCTGAAGTGTCAAGAGTAAAAGGGCTATTTGTAAAAAGGTAGAAAAGCTTTTAAGTTATTAGAACCATAGTTCCCAATTGTCTTAGAACTCCAGCACCCAAAAGAAGTTTTTAGAAAGTTGTTTTCTCTTTGCTTTCCACCTTCCCAGTGCCCCATGGCTATGATTTTGAAACTATTGCGAACAGAAATTGTATGAGAATTTTGTACACCCCTTTAGCTCTCCATCTTCCTCTCAACCGTGGTTGCCTTCAGGAAATGGGAATCTTTGGAACCCGGTCTAGATCTAGAAGATGGGTTGTAGATGATGCACGTGAGACTTGTCTCAGATGTATGTGTGTGTTGGGCTCTGGTCTCCAGACCCGGTCTGCTTCCTCTATGGCTACACATACTCCCTGTTGTGGTGTAGCCGGACTCCTTAGAATTGATATGAATGGCCGGAGCGCAAAAATGTACACATAGCCTTCTGCAAGCATTTTTGCACTTCGCTTCCTGGAAAGAACATCTTCTCTTTCTGCTGATGCTCCTTCCTCTCTGGGGAGCCCATGGTGATTATACTTCAGAGTTGAATTTAGACATCAGGAGTACAAGTGTTTTCACTTACCAAGAAACAAGACAATTAAATCCATCAGTAGGCCCCCTGAGAACCCAGTTAGTCTACAAGTTACCAATTTCTGAAATAATACCAATTTAACCTTCCCCACATGCATTTGCCATCTTTAACATAGTTCTAATAAGTTATTTCTCATCTGTATTAAGAAGACAAAGAATCTGATCTACTTCCCTGTTTTAAAATTCTGACCTGTAACACAAGGGTTTAATTGTATACCTGCAACTCAGTTGTGATTTGGTGCTTTAATGTAATGGTTACTTAAGCATTTGACAAAAGGGACTTTCTAATACGTCTTTGTGTTAAAGAATGGCAGTGACCTATGAAAGAACAGTTTTATCAGTCAGAGGTCACCCCGGTATAAATCTCCAAACCAGTAGCAATCCCTATATTTTCCAAATAGATAATAAAGCCTCACTAGTTCACCCAAAATGGAGAAAAGGAGTCTCCATTAATGAGAAACTAAATTTTAGAACTCTTTGGAAGAAATTTGCAGAAGAGTAGTTTTATTTTAAATTATATTCAGCAGTCAGAACTAAACTAATAATGGGCCAAACTGAATAAATAAAATCAATGGCAATTAGTATAATTATATTTCTTTTTTTTTTTTTAAGATTTTATTTATTTGACACACAGAGAGAAATCACAAGCAGGCAGAGAGGCAGGCAGAGAGAGAGAGAGGAGGAAACAGGCTCCCTGCTCAGCAGAGAGCCCGATGTGGGGCTCGATCCCAGGACCCTGAGATCATGACCTGAGCCGAAGGCAGAGGCTTTAACCCACTGAGCCACCCAGGTGCCCCAGTATAATTATATTTCTTAAACATTCTTCTATAGCAGTGCTTCTGAAATTATTTTAAAATGTCTAATCCATTGTGGAACTGATACTTCTACATAATACAAAATCACAATAGTGGCTCACATGGCGATGTCCCATGGCTCTAAACACTTCTGAGTATTTATTCACATTTACTGAACCCATGTCACTGTGGACCCATAGCGGTTTGTGGAGCAGAGGTGGCCTGGCGACTCTGTTTCAGAAGAGCACTTTTCCAGTTTTAAAGCCTTAAAACTCTCGGAGTGGTATGAATACTCCTTCAGGTCTGTTGTCCTGGTTTCTGTTCATTTGCAGTCTTCTTAAGTTGCGCTCCTGTCACAACCCTCAGCAGCCTCCAGCCCCTCCATTCTGGGTGCGCAGTCGCCCTGGTTCTTAGCCTCATGTAAGCCAAGCGGCCATTCCTTCTGTCTTGGTTGCCTGTAACGACGCGCTGTGCTCCTCCCCACGCAGAGAAGAAGCAGTACCGGGAGTCTTACATCAGCGACAGCCTGGACCTGGACGTGGACCAGCTGGAGAAGCGGTCCCGGGCCAGCGGGAGCAGCGCGGGCAGCGTCCGGCACAAGCGCCTGTCGCGCCACTCCACCACCAGCCACAGCAGTTCCCACACCTCGGGCATCGAGGCGGACACCAAGCCCCGAGACACGGGGCCGGAGGACAGCTACTCCGGCAGCGCCATCCACCGCAAGCTGAAAACCTGCAGCTCCATGACCAGCCACGGCAGCTCACACACCTCCGGAGTGGAGAGCAGCGGGAAGGACCGGCTGGAGGAGGACTCACAGGATGACGGTAAGGGCTCCCCGGGGCTCTCCCCACTCGCGTTGCTACCCCTCCAGCTCTGGCCTCCTCCCTCCTCCTGCCTGGTATTGTTTTCAACTACCAGTTCTGGAGACGTGCTGTGCGAGCGCCACTCGGAAGTACCGGTAGAGAAGAGGGGTCTTACATTCCCCCTCCCTGCCCCATGATTTTGTGGACTTGCTTGTGTGGTGAAGAAAGCATTCCTCCAGCGGTGATCCGTTGTGGCCACAGGCTGGGGTGCTAGTGGCTTCTGAGTCCCATTGGTTTCTTTCTTTTTTTTTTTTTTTTTCTGGAAAAATCACTTTACTTTCCTGGGCTTCAGTTCTCTCATCTTTAAAATGGGGATTATAACCCTCCTCACCCACCCATCCCCTCAGCTTCTTTTTTATTTATTTATTTTTTTTTTTTTATAAACATATAATATATTTTTATCCCCAGGGGTACAGGTCTGTGAATCGCCAGGTTTACACACTTAACAGCACTCACCATAGCACATACCCTCCCCAATGTCCATAACCCCACCCCCCATCTCCCAACCCCCCTCCCCCCATCAACCCTCAGTTTGTTTTGTGAGATTAAGAGTCACTTATGGTTTGTCTCCCTCCCAATCCCATCTTGTTTCATTTACTCTTCTCCTACCCCCTTAACCCCCCATGTTGCATCTCCTCTCCCTCATATCAGGGAGATCATATGATAGTTGTCTTTCTCCGATTGACTTATTTCGCTAAGCATGATACCCTCTAGTTCCATCCACGTCGTCGCAAATGGCAAGATTTCTTTTCTTTTGATGGCTGCATAGTATTCCATTGTGTATATATACCACATCTTCTTTATCCATTCGTCTGTTGATGGACATCTAGGTTCTTTCCATAGTTTGGCTATTGTAGACATTGCTGCTATAAACATTCGGGTGCACGTGCCCCTTCGGATCACTACGTTTGTATCTTTAGGGTAAATACCCAGCAGTGCAATTGCTGGGTCATAGGGTCGTTCTATTTTCAACATTTTGAGGAACCTCCATGCTGTTTTCCAGAGTGGTTGCACCAGCTTGCATTCCCACCAACAGTGTAGGAGGGTTCCCCTTTCTCCGCATCCTCGCCAGCATCTGTCATCTCCTGACTTGTTAATTTTAGCCATTCTGACTGGTGTGAGGTGATATCTCATTGTGGTTTTGAATTGTATTTCCCTAATGCCGAGTGATATGGAGCACTTTTTCATGTGTCTGTTGGCCATCTGGATATCTTCTTTGCAGAAATGTCTGTTCATGTCCTCTGCCCATTTCTTGATTGGATTATTTGTTCTTGGGGTGTTGAGTTTGCTAAGTTCTTTATAGATTTTGGACACTAGCCCTTTATCTGATATGTCATTTGCAAATATCTTCTCCCATTCTGTCAGTTGTCTTTTGGTTTTGTTAACTGTTTCCTTTGCTGTGCAAAAGCTTTTGATCTTGATAAAATCCCAATAGTTCATTTTTGCCCTTGCTTCCCTTGCCTTTGGCGATGTTCCTAGGAAGATGTTGCTGCGGCTGAGGTCGAAGAGGTTGCTGCCTGTGTTCTCCTCAAGGATTTTGATGGATTCCTTTCTCACATTGAGATCCTTCATCCATTTTGAGTCTATTTTCGTGTGTGGTGTAAGGAAATGATCCAATTGCATTTTTCTGCATGTGGCTGTCCAATTTTCCCAACACCATTTATTGAAGAGGCTGTCTTTTTTCCATTGGACATTCTTTCCTGCTTTGTCGAAGATGAGTTGACCATAGAGTTGAGGGTCTATTTCTGGGCTCTCTATTCTGTTCCATTGATCTATGTGTCTGTTTTTGTGCCAGTACCATGCTGTCTTGATGATGACAGCTTTGTAATAGAGCTTGAAGTCCGGAATTGTGATGCCACCAACTTTGGCTTTCTTTTTCAATATTCCTTTGGCTATTCGAGGTCTTTTCTGGTTCCATATAAATTTTAGGATTATTTGTTCCATTTCTTTGAAAAAAATGGATGGTACTTTGATAGGAATTGCATTAAATGTGTAGATCACTTTAGGTAGCATAGACATTTTCACAATATTTATTCTTCCAATCCAGGAGCATGGAACATTTTTCCATTTCTTTGTGTCTTCCTCAATTTCTTTCATGAGTACTTTATAGTTTTCTGTGTATGGATTCTTAGTCTCTTTGGTTAGGTTTATTCCTAGGTATCTTATAGTTTTGGGTGCAATTGTAAATGGGATTTACTCCTTAATTTCTCTTTCTTCTGTCTTGTTGTTGGTGTAGAGAAATGCAACTGATTTCTGTGCATTGATTTTATATCCTGACACTTTACTGAATTCCTGTACAAGTTCTAGCAGTTTTGGAGTGGAGTCTTTTGGGTTTTCCACATATAGTATCATATCATCTGCAAAGAGTGATAGTTTGACTTCTTCTTTGCCGATTTGGATGCCTTTAATTTCCTTTTGTTGTCTGAGTGCTGAGGCTAGGACTTCTAGTACTATGTTGAATAGCAGTGGTGATAACGGACATCCCTGCCGTGTTCCCGACCTTAGCGGAAAAGCTTTCAGTTTCTCTCCATTGAGAATGATATTTGCGGTGGGTTTTTCATAGATGGCTTTGATAATATTGAGGTATGTGCCCTCTATCCCTACACTTTGAAGAGTTTTGATCAGGAAGGGATGCTGTACTTTGTCAAATGCTTTTTCAGCATCTATGGAGAGTATCATATGGTTCTTGTTCTTTCTTTTATTAATGTGTTGTATCACATTGATTGATTTGCGGATGTTGAACCAACCTTGCAGCCCTGGAATAAATCCCACTTGGTCGTGGTGAATAATCCTTTTAATGTACTGTTGAATCCTATTGGCTAGTATTTTGGTGAGAATTTTTGCATCTGTGTTCATGAAGGATATTGGTCTGTAGTTCTCTTTTTTGATGGGATCCTTGTCTGGTTTTGGAATCAAGGTGATGCTGGCCTCATAAAATGAGTGTGGAAGTTTTCCTTCCATTTCTATTTTTTGGAACAGTTTCAGGAGAATAGGAATTAGTTCTTCTTTAAATGTTTGGTAGAATTCCCCCGGGAAGCCGTCTGGCCCTGGGCTTTTGTTTGTTTGGAGATTTTTGATGACTGTTTCAATCTCCTTACTGGTTATGGGTCTGTTCAGGCTTTCTATTTCTTCCTGGTTCAGTTGTGGTAGTTTATATGTCTCTAGGAATGCATCCATTTCTTCCAGATTGTCCAATTTGTTGGCGTAGAGTTGCTCATAGTATGTTCTTATAATTGTCTGTATTTCTTTGGTGTTAGTTGTGATCTCTCCTCTTTCATTCATGATTTTATTTATTTGGGTCCTTTCTCTTTTCTTTTTGATAAGTCTGGCCAGGGGGTTATCGATCTTATTAATTCTTTCAAAGAACCAGCTCCTAGTTTCGTTGATTTGTTCTATTGTTTTTTTTGGTTTCTATTTCATTGGTTTCTGCTCTGATCTTTATGATTTCTCTTCTCCTGCTGGGTTTAGGCTTTCTTTCTTGTTCTTTCTCCAGCTCTTTTAGGTGTAGGGTTAGGTTGTGTACCTGAGACCTTTCTTGTTTCTTGAGAAAGGCTTGTACCACTATATATTTTCCTCTCAGGACTGCCTTTGTTGTGTCCCACAGATTTTGAACTGTTGTGTTTTCATTATCATTTAAAGTGTTAAAGTCCCCTACTATTATTGTATTATTGTCGATGGGTTTCTTTGATTTTGTTATTAATTGGTTTATATAGTTGGCTGCTCCCACGTTAGGGGCATAGATATTTAAAATTGTTAGATCTTCTTGTTGGACAGTTCCTTTGAGTATGATATAGTGTCCTTCCTCATCTCTTATTATAGTCTTTGGCTTAAAATCTAATTGATCTGATATAAGGATTGCCACTCCTGCTTTCTTCTGATGTCCATTAGCGTGGTAAATTCTTTTCCACCCCCTCACTTTAAATCTGGAGGTGTCTTCGGGTTTAAGATGAGTTTCTTGTAGGCAACATATAGATGGGTTTTGTTTTTTTATCCATTCTGATACCCTGTGTCTTTTGATTGGGGCATTTAGCCCATTAACATTCAGGGTAAGTATTGAGAGATATGAATTTAGTGCCATTGTATTGCCTGTAAGGTGACTGTTATTGTATATTGTGTCTGTTCCTTTCTGATCTACTACTTTTAGGGTCTCTCTTTGCTTAGAGGACCCCTTTCAATATTTCCTGTAGAGCTGGTTTGGTATTTGCAAATTCTTTCAGTTTTTGTTTGTCCTGGAAGCTTTTAATCTCTCCTTCTATTTTCAATGATAGCCTAGCTGGATATAGTATTCTTGGCTGCATGTTTTTCTCATTTAGTACTCTGAATATATCATGCCAGCTCCTTCTGGCCTGCCAGGTCTCTGTGGATAAGTCTGCTGCCAATCTAATATCTTTACCATTGTATGTTACAGACTTCTTTTCCCGGGCTGCTTTCAGGATCTTCTCTTTGTCACTAAGACTTGTAAATTGTACTATTAGGTGACGGGGTGTGGACCTATTCTTATTGATTTTGAGGGGGGTTCTCTGAACCTCCTGGATTTTGATGCTTGTTCCCTTTGCCATATTGGGGAAATTCTCTCCAATAATTCTCTCCAATATACCTTCTGCTCCCCTCTCTGTTTCCTCTTCTTCTGGAATCCCAATTATTCTAATGTTGTTTCGTCTTATGGTGTCACTTATCTCTCGAATTCTCCCCTCGTGGTCCAGTAGCTGTTTGTCCCTCTTTTGCTCAGCTTCTTTATTCTCTGTCATTTGGTCTTCTATGTCGCTAATTCTTTCTTCTGCCTCATTTATCCTAGCAGTGAGAGCCTCCATTTTTGATTGCACCTCATTAATAGCTTTTTGATTTCAACTTGGTTAGATATTAGTTCTTTTATTTCTCCAGAAAGGGCTTTTATATCTCCCGAGAGGGTTGCTTTAATATCTTCCATGCCTTTTTCGAGCCCGGCTAGAACCTTGAGAATCGTCATTCTGAACTCTATATCTGACATATTACCAATGTCTGTATTGATTAGGTCCCTAGCCTTTGGTACTGCTTCTTGTTCTTTTTTTCGTGGTGAATTTTTCCGCCTTGTCATTTTGTCCAGATAAGAGTATATGAAGGAGCAAGTAAAATACTAAAAGGGTGGCAACAACCCCAGGAAAATATGCTTTAGCCAAATCAGAAGAGATCCCAAATCGTGAGGGGGGAGAAAGAGGATAAAAAGAGGTTCAGAAAGAAAAAAAAAAAAAAAAGAAACAATTAAAAAAAGAAAACCGATAAAAAAAAATATAAAAAGGAAAAAATATATATATATATTAGATAAACTAAAAAACATTAAAAAAGAAAACGGTAAAAGTTAAAAAAATTTAGCAGAAGAAGAGAAAAGAAAAATGAAAAAGAAAAAAAATTAAATTAACTGCAAGGCTAAAGAATCATGGGGAGAAAGCCATGAGTTCCGTGCTTTGCTTTCTCCTCCTCTGGAATTCCGCTGCTCTCCTTGGTATTGAAACTGCACTCCTTGGTAGGTGAACTTGGTCCTGGCTGGGTTTCTTGTTGATCTTCTGGGGGAGGGGCCTGTTTTAGTGATTCTCAAGTGTCTTTGCCCCAGGCGGAGTTGCACCGCCCTTACCCGGAGCCGGTCTGAGTAATCCGCTCGGGTTTGCAGGGTTTGCTTTCGGGAGCTTTTGTTCCCAGCTTTTGTTCCCTGAGCGCTTTCTGTAGAGTTCCGGAGGGCGGGAATGAAGATGGCGGCCTCCCGGTCTCCGGCCCGGAGGAGCCGAGAGCCCGGGGCCCCACTCCTCAGTGCACCCTCAGAGAACAGCGCCCAATTACTCCTGTCACCCTGGCCTCCGGCCGGGCTCCGAGCTGACCGAGCCTGCGACCAGTTCAAGGTAACACCAATCTGAGAGCTCACTCCTCGGCTCTCTGTAGCCGGCTTCCCCGTTCTGATACCTGTAAGCTCTGCGACACTCAGACACCCCCGATCCTTCTGTGACCCTGCGGGACCTGAGGCCGCACTGACCCCGCCTGGGCTTCACCCCGGTTAAGCCTCTGGAGCGATGTCCCTCAGCGGAACTGACTTTTAAAAGTCCTGATTTTGTGCTCCGTTGCTCCGCCGCTTGCCGGGAGCTGGCCCCTCCCCCCGCGGTCTATCTTCCCGTCGCTTTGGATTCACTTCTCCGCCAGTCCTACCTTTCAGAAAGTGGTTGATTTTCTGTTTCTAGAGTTGTTGTTCTTCTTCTCTTCGATCTCCCGTTGGATTTGTAGGTGTTTGCAATCTTTAGATAAGCTATTTAGCTGATCTCCCGCTACCTGAAGTAGTCTCAGCCTGCTACTTCTCCGCCATCTTGACTCCTCTCGTCCTATTGGTTTCTATGAGGTAGAGCAGAAGTCAGCCTGCAGTGCTCAGGTTTGCATTTCTGATTCCCAGATTAAATAGACATTGATTCGGACAGCAGAGTAGATGCAACAATGGTGACAGAAATGTCTTCAACTTTTTGCAGGGGAAAAAAAAAAAAGATTTGAGTCCAGGACATTGGTTATTTAGTAAGTATTACTTAAATTCCTCCTATGCAACTGGAATTCTGGGAATATAATAGAAAGTTAGAGCTTGGCTGCTTAACTCTGTATTAGGGAGAGAAAACCAGACCTCCAGCCTGTATCAGACAAACTTAGCCTATGTGTGCATCTTTCTTTCTTTCTTTTTCTTTCTTTCTTTCTTTCTTTTTTTTTTTTTGTTTTGTTTTGTTTTTAAGATTCTACTTATTCGTGAGAGACAGAGAGGGGAGGGGGAAACAGAGACAGAGGGAGAAACAGTCTCTCCTCAGAGCAGGAAGCCTAAGGTAGGGCTCGATCCCAAGACCTAGGATTATGACCTGAGTGAAAGGTAGATGCTTAACCGACAGCCACCCAGGCGCCCTTGTGTGCTTCTCTTTTTTTATTTTTCTGCCTCAAGTGCTGTAACATTCACATTTGGGAAAAAGATAATGACTTCATTAAGGAAAACTGCAGCACATTTGCTTGGTTTGGTTACTGTAGAATTCGTGTGGATCTCAAATGAAGTCCCTTCAATGCCTTGCGAGTAGGCAGCTATGGGAAATGGGGACCCTCGTGAACAACTCATTGTGCTCTGGCCTCAAGCAAACAGCCCATCAGTCTTCGTTTTCCCTCTGTCATCTCAGCAAGGTGGTAGAGCTCTTTCCTTCTTTCTTTATTTTTAAGAGTTTATTTATGATTTATTTTAGAGTGTGCGAGCATGATCATGTGTAAAGGGTGGGGCAGAGGGAGAGCAACAAGCGCACTCTGTGCTGAGTGAGGCGCTTGATGCAGGCTCGATCTCACAGCCCCGAGATCGTGACCTGAGCAGAAATCAAGAATCAGACCATTAACCGACGGAGCCCCGCAGGCACCCCTTTCTCTTTCCTGCTTTCTTAAAGAGTAAAGAATAATTGACAAATCGTGCCACAAGAAAACATGTTGATAACACACCAATCCTGTGAAAAAAGAGAATACATCTAGCTGAGAATTGTCCCTTGAATTTCCTAGTGTAGACTCTCATCAGCAAATCTATTTTAAAATATGGGGAATCACATAGCCTCCTTCACAGTACGGCTGTGCATTCTGGTGTCCATTTCCCTTCATATCCCCAAATGCCTTTTCCTTCTTCTGTGTCAGAGATAGAGATGCTGGTCGACGACCCCCGGGACCTGGAGCGGATGAATGAAGAGTCCCTGGAAGTCAGCCCAGACATGTGCATCTATATCACCGAGGACATGCTCCTGTCGCGGAAGCTGAATGGACACTCTGGTGAGCTCTTACGGGAAGTTCTCCTTCAGGAGTGCACCGTCCCAGGCTGAGAAGCAGGGGTCCCAGAAAACAGGAGGTTTGGGGTGGGGCTCTAGGTCCGACTGGACTGGAATCAGAAGTTTCCAGGTCAGCACCACAGACTGCCGGCTTGAGGATCTTCCCAGGGAGAATGGGAAAGGAAGGGGAAGAAGCACCCTCCACCCCAAGCTCTGGGCGAAGCACAGTTTCCTCTTTGTTGTTGTTGATTTGTTTTGTTATTTTAAATGATAGTCAGAGTTATATATATATATGTTATATATATAACTATATTTATATAGATATATATAACTATATAATATATATATATTATATTATATATTATATAATAACTATATATAGTAGATATATACTATCTATAATATAATATAATATAGTTATATAATAACTATATATATAACTATATATAGTAGATATATATTATCTATATACTATCTATACTATATACTACCTTATTAATATATATAATTATATATAAATAAATATATATTTTGTATATATATAGTGTGTGTGTGTGTATATATATATATATATATATATATATATATATATATATAGTTATTATATAACTATTTCTATGAAGTAAAAGATGTTACCCTAAAAAAAACCCAGCACTGTGGGTTTTGTTTTTAAGCATCAGTCCATCCTAATGGCCCTTGTCACATTTCACGCCTCGGTTTCCGATCCATACAAAAACACGCGTTCGGAATCAGCAGCGTGGACACAGCATGGGGGCTTATGGCTCAGCCATGTCAAGCTTTGAGTGAGAGACCCTATTGACAACAGGGATGACCTGCGATTGCTCGGTCAAGACCCATGGTCCCTGATAGTGGGTCTCCCTGCTGCAACAGGTGCTAGGAATCAGAGATGAACAAGGCCAGCATGCAGGGTCCCCTCATCCTGGCATTTAATCTGTAAGAGCATGAGGCTCCTTTATTGCAGAATTTTACCTCCTGGCCTAGTGGAACCGTGGCCCCCTGATGTTCCACCAGGAGAAGGCCTGACAGTGGTTACAGAGAATCCCTCTGCCGAACCAACACAGATTCATCAGGCTACTTGGCCTGTCATGTAATTAGACTTCTTGTGCCAGACTTGGCCCTTTTTGGCTTTTTTTGCCCATCTGCTTTATTAAATAGACATTTTTCCTTATAAATACATTTTAATATATATTAAATATAAACTTAAAATTATATGCATATTATAGGTGCGTGCTCTTTGTGTGTGCATGTGTGTTTGTGTGGAAAGAAAACTGCCTAAACAATACACGCCAAAGAGTCAGTGGGAAGAGGCGGTGGAAAGGAAACAGATTTTTGCTTTTTATGTATATATTTCTACGTTTAACTTTTATGATAACATTTTGTAATTATTTTATTTTTCTGAAGATTTTATTTATTTATTCATGAGAGACACAGAGAGATCGAGAGGCGGAGGGAGAAGCAGGTTCCCTGGGGAGCAGGGAGCCTGATGCGGGACTCAATCCCAGGACTCCGGGTTCATGACCTCAGCCGAAGGCAGACGCTTAACTGAGCCACTCAGGCACCCAGGTTTTGTAATTTTAAATAGAAATAAAGTATAGATAAAATAGTTGTTTAAAAAGGTTTATATATGAAAGCACTTCCCGAAATATTATTTATAATAACAAAGAAAAGGAAAAAGAACCTCAACAGGTAACAATGAAATGTTTATTCTGTCCATATGCTGGAATATTGTACGATTATTAACTAATGAGATTTTCAAAGGATATTTAATAATGTGAGAAAGATAGGCAAGAAAAACAACACAAATTGTATTAACAGTAGGCTCTCAAATTATAAAAATATGTGTATGTATATGAAAAAATACATAAAAATACTAATAGCCTTTTCTCTGGATGATGGAGTTATAGATGATCTTATTTTCTTTCTTGCGTCATCCTACTTTTCCAGATTCTCTACAATTTGAGCATTTAAACATTGTTTTTAAAATGTGGAGCTCAGATTGAGTAGTGGTGGAAGTCTGGGCGATGTCAGTTTCGTGTTCTGAGCCCCAGACTTGATGCTGATTTATCTAACGCAGAGTCTGGGTTTGGAAACAGATTATTTACAGGCATAAGGGCCAAGAGCACATTTACCAGGAAATCCAGAAGGACCCATTCCAGGTCCTAGTGCACCAGTCTACATCTTTCTGGGAGGATTTATTAAAAGTTTAAAGCTTTGGGGTGCCTGGGTGGCTTAGATGGTTGAGCGTCTGCCTTTGGCTCAGGTCATGATCTCCAGGCCCTGGGACCAAGCCCCACTTCGGGTGCCCGGCTCATCCAGGAGTGTGCTTCTGCCTCTGTCTCCACTTGTGCTCTCTCTGTCTCTCTCTCTCAAATGAATAAATAATTTTTTTTAAAAAAGTTAAAGCTTTTTAAAATATAAGGATATTCTAGAAAAAGACCCCCTACTAAAGCAGTCTGTATCATCCCCAAGATGTAAGTATCCACCTGAGAGTTTCTGTCTACATGTAAACCAAGAATGTCTTCCTTTCATGTTTCAGTTGAACTAATTATCAAACACTTAATATATGCAAGGCCTATACTACTCACTTATGAGTCATTTCTAAAGAATTAGAAGATAGAACACAAAAGGCCATTTCTGAGGTAATTAACAGTAGCTAAATAAAAATCACATTACTCAAGGTTCTTTTTTTATAAGGTGAAAACGTACTTTACCTAAGAAACCATTCACCCTTGAGGACCTGGGGTTTGACTGACTTGCTTCATTGATCTGCAAGAAAAATGTCAGTGATCATCTTCATTCCCATCTCCAGTTCTTGTTAGCAGCTTTATCTTCTGAAACATTAATTTCTGATGCTTCATTCACATACCACAGCCACAGAGGGAAGTTTCAGCCCTGAATTTCTAGTTCCAAAATATTAGCAGATTGTCCTTGAGCGCTAGGGCAATTAGGAGCCCTATTGCTCTCAGAGATCCAGAGCCACATGTTCAGGATGACCTCCCATTTGTGGCCTCTGCCCAGTTGGATCTGCTGCAGGAAGCAAGTGCCACAGGGCCCTTATCAGCCCGAGAAGTTCCTGTGAGTTGAGTGTGTCCCGCAGGCAGGTCCAGCCCCTTGCCCTTTCCATGCATTTGCTCTTCAGTCATAGTTAAACTCTGTGGGTTAAATGTTGCTTTCAGCCCCACTTTACAGGAGGAGACTATGACACAGGGAGGCCATGTCACTGGCCAGCAGACACAGTAATCACAGTAATGACTCATCTGGGCCCAGTTCTATCCCAGATCCGTGTGGTCAGAGCCCCCACAAAACTGCTGCACATCTAAGGGGAAGCAAACATAGCAGGCCATGTCGTGGTTCAGCTGGGGTTAAGTTCAGACTTTGTGCTCTATGGAACGTGAGGGAACTTTAGGCAATGAACTGCTTTTTCACCTACAGTCTTTCTTTTTGTCACTAACTTCATAAATACCTTAATTAGAAGTTGTTGTTTAGAAAATTCAGGCTCTAGTGGTGCCTGGGTGACTTAGTTGTTAAGCATCTGCCTTCAGCTCAGGTCATGATCCCAGGGTCCTGACATCAAGCCCCACATCAGGCTCCCTGCTTGCTTCTCCCTTTCGCACTCCCTCTGCTTGTGTTCCCTCTCTCCCTGTGTCTCTCTCTGTCAAATAAATAAATAAAATATTTTTTTTTTTAAAAAAAGAAGAAAGAAAGAAAATTCAGGCTCTAAACTCCTCCCTGTCCTCTAACCCCACATTTACCCTTCTCCTCCCTACTTGCTGTAAGACAAGAGACAGAATGTGTTCCGTCCTGGTCACTCACCACGGAAGAGTAGCAGATTGTTCAGTCACAGCTAATATTTGACCTTTTGATCTTGGTGGTCATATATGTCAGATATGTGGCAAGAGGTATGACTAATAAGAAGTCTTCATTGGTTTTACTATTTTTTTCCCTGTGTTTTACTTTAGGGTTGATTGTGAAAGAAATCGGTTCTTCCACCTCCAGCTCCTCAGAGACTGTCGTCAAGCTTCGCGGCCAGAGCACTGATTCTCTTCCGCAGGTACAGAAGGAATTGGAAAATTTAAATTGGGTACTGAAGTTATAGAAAACTTGAAATAGAACTCACAGTTCTATTAATATAAATGAGCAAAAATTAAAAACCCTCAGGAAATGATTCTTAATAGGGATATTCCAGTTTTGTTGAGAACTTATGTCCATTTTATTTGCTTGTTCCATTCATCTTTGAGTTGATTTTTATTTGAATAAATTATGTACTTTGTTTCACACTTTTTGTAGCTGGGAAGCCTCTATAGACTTCAGATTAACTCTGTGTGTGTGTGTGTGTGTGTGTGTGTGTGTGTATTTATTGACCTCAACAACTGGGAGAAGGATTTTCTCGTGAGGAATGTCGTGGCAGAAGTGTTTCCACACTCTGATTTTTCCATCCAGATTGGATTTTCAAAGTATGCTGAGTGAGGCTGCTTGATACCCTGTGGTCACTGGCTACACACTGTTAACATATCAAAAGATAAAACACTCTGGAACTTGTGGTTGCAGTATCCGGGTTTATTCTATAACTGATCCTCACATCTTCTTCCTGAGCATTCTCTTGCTCTCCCCTTTATGCCTCTCTCTCTCGGACTGTCTCCGTCTTTTTTTAAATTCTTTTTTTTTTTTTTTTTGTCTTCTGTGTATGGTTCTCTCCTCCCTTTTCTCCATCTGTCTCATTTAAGTAGCCTTAATGTGCACCTGCTGTCTTATTAAATGTTTTTGAGTCATTTCTAAAGCAGTATGTGTAGCATGATGATTACGAGCTCCAGGGTCACACCGCCTGGGTTGCCCCCCCCCCCAGTTCCGCCCCCGGTGTTAGGTCTGACGGTACAGAAATGTCCGTAGCCACAAGGCACAGCCACAAGGCAGGAGCACCCCTGTGTGCCTGCTGAGAGGACCTAACGCGTTCCATGTGGGAGACCCTGGTGGCCCCCGGGAGGCCTGCCTGAGTACAGCCGATTGGCATCTCCAGAGGGTGCCTGGAGGTGGTAGTTCCTAATAAAATGTTTTTGGGCTCAGACCCTGTTCTCTGTCCCAGCACTTTAGCCTTTAGTAAAACGTGAGCACTTATTCTGACAAATTTGGCTTGTGCATTTTCAAGCAGCTCTTGAGTTGAGAGGAACAATGCCTTGTTTCCTTCCATCACCCATTAAGCATCTTCCATTCATGTAATTATCTGAACCACTTTTTAACCTATTTATATTTTCAGCCAGTAGCACTTGTTAGGATAATGAGTTCTAGAAGTCTGCTGCCTGCTGTATGAAGTATTTGGCAGAACACTGCTTACAGTGTTCGGGACCCGACTCTTGCCTCCCAGCCTTCTCTGTACTTTGTATTATTTTTCTATCCAAGAATTCTAGTTTTTAAAAAAAAACACTTTTTTAAGTTGTGTTTCTTGAATAATAATTGGTTCGTTTCCCCACTTCTTATTAAAATAATAACAGACCTCAGCATGAAAATGTTACCATGCTGAATTGTCATATTCTAGTGGGAAGAAAAAAATTGGGCCCTATCTTTACCTATCCAGCCCTATTTCAAGACCATTTCTTGACTTCTGAGATGCTAGAGACAGTTGGTTCCTGTTGGATTTACTTCCTTTGCCTTAGATTATTCGTCTGTAAAACAGGGAGAATAATGGCACTGACCTCGTAGGGCTGATGGGAAGACTGAACGGTCAGGGCCTTGCACCTAAGGGCTCGGTGAATGTTTGTTGCTGTTAGTGGTGGCTGTGACATTTTCCCCACAGGGCCTCAGCGGCCCTGAAACCTCAGACTGGAAATCACTTTCCAACATACAAGATTCCATAACCTTCTAAGATTTTGCAGCTCTCTCTTTACAAGGGCAAATATTGCTAACCTTTCACTTCGGTCTATACTCTTAAAGTTGTTCTCACCTTCCCTTATTCTGCAGACTATATGTCGGAAACCAAAGACCTCCACTGATCGACATAGCTTGAGCCTGGATGACATCCGACTTTACCAGAAAGACTTCTTGCGCATTGCAGGTCTGTGTCAAGACACTGCTCAGAGCTACACTTTTGGGTGCGGCCACGAACTGGATGAGGAAGGCCTGTACTGCAATAGCTGCTTGGCTCAGCAGTGTGTCAACATCCAAGATGCTTTTCCAGTCAAAAGAACCAGCAAGTACTTTTCTCTGGATCTCACTCATGATGAAGTTCCAGAGTTCGTTGTATAGAGTACGTCTGCACGCAGCTGGCTCCACGGGCAGCCTGCTGTTTGCTGGAGGCCGGAAAGCCATGGAATTGTGCCAGATTTTCTTCAACCCAGAACATATAGCTCTTTCTTGATGATACTTGCGATGGAAATAAAAGCCTTGGGACAACTGCACTTTAAGTATCACACAGAGATAAAAGAACTACAGAGAATGTACACCAAGACCAGTGCCCAGAAGTTCATGATCCTTTGGAAGGATATGTGCTTTACTGGTTACCAGGCCTTCAGAACATTGAGTCGTGGTGTCTGTTCCTCGTTTTTGTTTTTTCATTTGATTACACGACATCACATTTTTTAAAATCATGTGGAAGATGTTGTTAGGTTTATTTGTTTGCTTGTAATTTTTTTTTTTTTTTTTTTTTTTTTTGGTCAGTCCCTCACACACGTGGTTTGAGGGAGGAGAGAAGAGTCTTTCCTTTTAACGGAGAGACCGTTGCCTAGTATGTAGCCATTGCCGCCTCTCCGGGGCTGTCCCAAAGTGAACACTAACAAAGTGGTCAAAATCCTGTAGTTCTAGCAAGCCAAAGACATGGACGTAACAGAAGCACGGCCTAGGTCCAGAAGACGGGAATGAAGCAATAACCAGAAGGCTCTGTGTGCTTTGATGCCTTGTGACCCCTTCACGCCTGCTCGGTGCCATTGTCCTCTTCCTGCTCTCCCGGAAAGCTCTAGGACCCAGCAGAGTTTCTCCTCAGAAAAACTGATCAGTGGTGTTCATGTCTGTGTGCATTTTGTGGCGTTTACAAAACGAGTTTCTGTTAAAACTATAGAAATGTCTTAGAAAATGTTTGTGCTTGGTGTTTTGTTTGTTTTGTTTTAATCAAGAACCAATTATGGTAATGCTAGTTTCTGCTTAACCAAAATACCATAACTGTGCGTATATGTTATACATATATAAATACCGGAGATTGCGTGTGTTTATATGTGTTTAAAGCTTACTAACTCTTCTTCTTGGCTTCCAGGACTGTTTTTGTGTTTATGGTCTTTCTTGTTGAACATGGAGAATGTGTTGCTGAATGAATGATAACTACAGACAATCAGTTAATATATGTCAAGTTAAGAATGACTGTTTTCTCACGGGTCTTTTGCTGTGATCCTCAGCCCTGGTTGCACAATAGAATTATTTGGGGAGCTTTAAAAAAAGTGACAATGTCTGGGTCCCACTTCTGGCCAATAAACTCAGTCTGTTGCGGCAAGTTCCAGGCGCCCTTGCCTTTTCCTTTAAAGCTCTCCAAATGGAGCTAATACGCATTGGGGTTTAAAACCACAGCTGCAGAGGGTGTCTTTCTGTTAATTTCGAAGTTTAAGTGTACAGAAAATGTTAGCCGTTTAAGAGAGGCCCATTTCTAAGACAGTTACTGCCACTGCTGTTAAGATATAGAATGAAACCAGGTCCAGGAGAGTGAATCTGTTAACCTTTAGATGTATAGTAACAATGTTGTTCGCACTTCGGGAGAGAACTTTAGCACAACGTGTCTTTCTATGAGATGTTTGTAATGACTTCGTATTTTACAACATTTGTTTACCATATTTTGATAAACCATTTTTTCTAAATGCCAGGTTTTCTTAAAAAAAAATGATATATTATTTTCTAAAGAAACAGTCATATTTTTATACAAGATTAAGTTTTCAGGTAACAAAGAAGTAGATTTCTGGTACAGCAGAAAATGCGGTGTTCCGCATGGGTGGGAGTCGGTATGATGAACGCGTGGAGAACACGGGCCAGCCCCGCCTTTGTGCTGCCCCTTGCACACCCCCACGTACGTGTGCACCCACTGGGCAGTGTGTGCCCTCCAAGCCCAGGCAGATCAGTTTTACCCAACACTGAGAAAGGAACACAAGTTCTGTAGAGTTCTATAGTCATGAAATTATTTTGCTTTTATTAAAAGTTCTAAAAGAACCAAAGTTTCAGATATCCGAATGTACAAAAGGATCTCAGTCTTCTGTACGAAAGGGTAGAAGGATCAGCTACTGACTGCTTCACTCACAAGTAAGTCATTGAATAATCCACCATTTCGTGTAGATGCGTCAGAGACACATCCTGGGAGGTTTAACAGAAAAGAGCCCAGATCATAATGTGGTGCATTTCCTTAGCTCATAGCGTTTCTTGCAAACATCAAGACAAAAGCATCTTCAATTAAGTATGTAGTGCTTTCTTTTTTCTCTGTACTTCAACCAGAATCAGGTCTTCAGGGTTTTGCCAGCATCATTGGTGGTTTTGCACACCCTCTTTCTAATTGGGTTTATGAATAGTAGGTTTTCAAAAATGAAACATGCTAAGGAACGTTTTTGCTTTTTGATCCACTGTTTGCAGCAGAATTATATATATGTATATGAAAATCCATTTTGGTTACTGACATTTTGTATTTGGAAATTGTTTTAAACAATAAAAAAAGGAAAAGAAACTTATGAAGCTGTAATTTATTCTGCATTTGTTAATAGTGTTGCTGGTCGGTATACCTGTTTGGTACATATGGCCTCTCTACGTCTACATTTGTATTTGCAACAATGAGCTTTATAATCTACATAAACTGTAAATAATCCTTTCTGTGAAAGGATCATCATATCAGGATGATACCAAAAGTGTGTAAAAGAAAACTGCAGTATTTTGTAATGATTTCTTATAGGCATTTCATGGTAAGATTAGCAGTCAATAAAGTTACTTTTTATTTGTCTTTAAAGTGCCTTTTTTTTTTTTTTTAATTAGAGTTCTCAAGTTAACCAAGAGGCATTAAGAAGTGAATCTTTTCGGGCGCCTGGGTGGCTCAGTGGGTTAAGCCGCTGCCTTTGGCTCATGTCATGATCTCAGGGTCCTGGGATCGAGTCCCGCGTTGGGCTCTCTGCTCGGCAGGGAGCCTGCTTCCCTTTCTCTCTCTCTCTCTCTCTGCCTGCCTCTCTGTCTACTTGTGATCTCTCTCTGTCAAATAAATAAATAAAATCTTAAAAAAAAAAAAAAAAGAAAGAAGTGAATCTTTTCTTTGTGTTCTTCTTTCCTGTAACAGAGCACCTGGAGGGACTTCCTAAAGGCCCGGTGTGGTAGGGCTCCGAGCCGATGGCCTCTTGGCGGAGATGCTCATGAGGACAGAGGCTGAGCCCCGCCACACGCTGTGCCCATCCCACACATGCTAGGAGTTCACAGATCAACTCCTTTAATCCTCATACGCATATAAGGCAGGTGCCAGTTTTATTCCCAAGTTAGAGATGAAGGAACCAAGGCTCCAAGAGGCCGTGGCAGCCAGCTGCTAGGCATGCCCACACTGAGGGACTGAAAGCACTCAGTAAAGAATGGTTTTCATTTTTTAAATGAAAATAATCACCTTAGTTTTGCCCACAAAATAATCATCTTTGGAGTGTTGAATTTCCAGTTGTAAAAAGTAAGGGGTTAAATTTCAAAGGCAGTCCCCAGGCTGAAGGTGAGGGCCATGTGGGATCAAGGTTCGAGCCTGGACCTGCACTTAGGGTCAGTAGACCGGGGTCTGAAGAGCCCGGGCGGCCTTGTGAAAGGATGGCGGTGATCTTCCCATTACTCCGGTTTTCTTGCCTGCAGTAGGATTAATAATTCCGAGGGCCATTTTGGGGGGATTCAATAAGGTAATAGTTACAATATGCCCCTGAGGACGAAGGTGGGAGAGAGGAGTGTTTTCAAATCTAACCAACATGTAACTTGCATAGAATCGTGACCATTTGGAAGCATACAATCCAAAAGACAAGCTTTCTAGTGTTACTCATGGATTTTGCAGTGCACCTGGTAAATTGTGAGTTAAGTTTCTGGTCACCTGCTGTGTAGCTGACACGACACACGCCATGTCTAATCTTCACAACCCTTCAGGGAGTCAACTCATTTTATAGCCAAGGAAACAGACTTCCTCAACACCGTACAGCTCTTAAATCTTGGGCAGCATTTGCAACCCAAATCCACCTCCGAAAGCTTTGCTTTCTCTACTACCTATACTGTGTTACCCACTGCACTTAGAGAAAGCTCACAATCTAATATGGAAGACATACTTACAATTTTGCTACTGCAAGAAATGAAATTTATTCGCTTGCACACTGTTTTTTTGAGCTCCCCCTATACCAGACCTGTGGTAGGATTATTTGGGTATTGCTCTGGTGCAAAAACAGTGAAGAGCTGGGGGTGGGTAGGAAGTGGAAGGTGGAAAGAACAAAGGTTTTACTCAGAGGAAGAGCCTTGAGAGGGAACTTCCGGCAGGTTGGAGTGAGGGACAAACCGACCGCTCAAAGATGAGAAGCCAGAGACAACAGCGCTCACTCAGGGACATTTGGGCTTGAGGAATGACTCTATCCAGAGTAGTCATGAAAGGCCCTTGGTGCCCAGAGGAGGATGCTGAGTTTTCCTCTGGACAGGGTGCCACTAAAGGGGATGATAAAAGGAGGGACACATTTGAGAGGAAGAATGGGATCAGTGCTGCTAGAAGGTAGGGAGAGGGGAGCAGGACTGGAGAGATGATGACCTGAGAAAGGATGTGGCCACAGGGAGAAGAAAAATTCAGACATTACGGAGCTATGCCGCCCTCCCCGTCTCTCTCATTCTCTCTCCCCTCTCCTCCCTCTCTCTGTCCTTCCCTCTCTGTCTCACACACAGACACATCACCTTCTAAGCTAAATATGAGAGAAAGAGGCAAGTTTTCCATACTTAGTGACATCCTTGGGAAGACCAAAAAGTTCACTACCGCTTTATATAATGAATTAAAATCTACTCTGCATGAATGCTTTGAGTGTTAACTATTGGCTCCATGGCCACCACCACTCTCATGTGGAGGCAGCAGCTCTCAAGCGGGGCTTCACATAAGGGTGACCAGCAGAACTTAAAACAGCAGTGTCCGGGGCCCGGACCACAGCTCCTGATTTACTCCGTCTGAGTGGGCATGGTTCTACCGAGAAGCTCGGCCAGTGATGCCAGTGTGCATCAGGGTGCCGACCCATCGTTCTGCAGGTGAGCCTGAGCATCTGAGCCGGCATCCACACTTGGGCTTAGTTGCCTCGCCAGAGTGTCTTGGTTTATTGCATTTTATGAGAGTGACATTATTTTTACCAATACAGAGAGGTCAGAGCGTGGACAGTGTTCAAGTCCACAGAACTCACCGTTTCGGGAAGTCTGAATACACCCACATTCTAGAAAGCTGGGTGGTACATACATATAATTGTTTTGCCAAGTATAAGAGTGGAAGTGATGTGAGTTCTGTGAAATACTCGAAGATCTCCTCCCTGTCACTTTTATTTGCTTCGTCACTTCTCTGACGCTTTATATAAGGCGATCGCTACCTTATATAAAGGTCATGATTGCTACCTTATATAAAGAGGAGGGTGAATAAAAGTAAGCTAACTTCCGCTTAGC